CATTACCACTACTATTCTCTACATTATCCGCCTTCTCCGCTACTAAAGACGACGATGGAGTTATACTCTTCGGATCTGGTAAAGTAGAATCTAAAACGCAGGCAAGATCTGGGGAATGGCATGTAGCAAGGCAGGGTTTTTTCTTTAGAGGGGTCTCATAAGTCTCGTCAAGACAGGAATCATCCAACTGCCTCTTAAGGCTAACGGATGCACCGCTGTTAACTATCTCAACTTTTATGTTGCAGAAAGGACTGTTAGGAATCCACAACGGATCACTTGAACTGGTATCTGTGCTCTCACACGTGATCATTCGAGAGTAAACCGAGAGTGGCCGCAAGTGGGCAAACTCCGTCGTCTTATCTGAGCCAATTCTATGGAAAACGGTCTTGAGGAGGGGTTTTTCGTCCGCCATCTTTAGAGAACTACATTAGGTTGTGATCATCTGAAGAAGTGTCAGCCCCCGTGAGATCCTAGAAGAAAAATAAAATAGTTAATCATAGCATTAACTAAATCAGCCTGGTCAACTTTCATTAGACTTCATTCCTCAAATGATCACCAGACGTTGCTTGCTTTAGAAGAAAATGCACAGAGGTGGAAGACATCGTTTGAACTACCAAATCAAACTGAAATCACTAACAAATGCACCGTTGTTTGCATTACATATTTTGGAACGGACAGAATTCTGAATCACTAAATCCAAGATGCACACGTCCAAAATTATTCAAACACCTCTTCAAACTACTGAATTCAGCCACTTTAAGGTTCACCAATCACTGACACAAGCATGCAACTGCACTGTCCAAAACCTTTATGCTTGTGGCTGAATGCAATCAAATCCCCTCTGCAATCTTGCAGCCTCAGCAATAGTGCAAAGCCTTCCCTTGATTTCAGAAATAACGCTGGATGAGCAAGTGTCTACAAACCTTTGGACAGTAATGTTAACATATTTTGGAAGTTAAGCTTTTCTTAATGCAACACAAAGATCTTTGCTTAACAGCATGGCTAACGGGACCTTACCCATTAAAGGTGAACTCCACCGATTTTTCAAAAAATTCCACATAATTAAATGGCTGAGATGTAAACAGTCATTCAGAGCTGAAGAAACCTGCCACATCAGAACTGCTCACAGTGGTGGTGATAGGAACCAGACATCTAAAGAGTTTAATGCCTCTAAGCTTTATCACAGAAAGTTATTAAATTAAGTAGTTAGATAAATACTGCATGATGTCTGACACTTTGTTTTACAATGGTTTTGTGATCAAGTTTTTGGCTAAAAATGTAAACCCATTCATGAAGGAGGGATACAAGCAGGGCATTGTGAGCCAAAACAGTCCCAATTTTTTTTTTTTAAATGGTTGATTGTAGAGACTCAGATTCCTTTACAGTGGTAAATAGTCATTTTACCATCATCATTACCCACAAAAGGCACGTGTAGGTTCACTGGTGGTTTAGTACAGTAAATAAAATGGCTATATTTGTGTTGTAGACATGGTGACCTATGACTTCTATCATCGACACTGTAAAGAAATCTGAGTCTCTACAATTAACCATTTTATACCAAACCACTCTAAATAACTGTTTACATATCGAAGTCTGAATTATTCAAAAAACTGGAAAACTGGGCAATCACGAAAAACACCTTCAAAACAGATGACTGACTTTATATGACTTCATAAAAAGGAAGATCACGTTCCAGCTAATTAGAGACTACCTTCCTATTATATATCAAGAACCACGTAATGGAAATGAGCCTTGGACCTCTTCACGCTACCCGTGATAAACAAGCCTAAGATGTAGCGTTAACTTAGCTAACGCTAGCTACTTGAACGTAAGATGCAAGATGTAGTTAATCTTTGCATTTACTGCCAAAGAAAATCAACTAAACTAAAACTTACTACAGAGTTTTCTACCAAAATGGCAAAATGTGAGGTCGCTGGTGCAGCAGTTAAGATGGAGCTGGCTAACGTTAGTCAGTTAGCCAGCTCCACAAACTGACTCACCGGGTTAAGCTTGGTTTGTACAGAATGAATTCAACTGTAACGTTAGAAGATATCAAATGTAGTTTAGCCAGGATTTCTTTACATAGATATAAATGTACACAAAACAGCTGGCGAGCTAAGCTACAAAGCCCTGGTCTCTGTTCGTTACCGTTAGTTTGCTGGTGTGACAGTTTGATCCAGCAAGCGGCTAACTTAACCTAGCTAACGTAGCTATCCAGGCAGTTCTAAGGATTTAAATCGCTCAGTTGGTTTTCATGGCCGTTCAGTGCGGATTTTACTTTCATTAGACAGTGTACAGCAATGTTTTGGTCTACCTCAGAAGTGCTGGAGGCGTTTTGGAGAGTGAATAAGTTCGGCTACCAGGCCAACCGCCGCCTCCTCCTGCCGATCAGACTGAAGGCGCCGGAGCTCCTATTTATAACGTTCGGTCTGCAGCGGCGCCTCTGATTGGCTGAGCAACATCGCGCTCGATTATGAATTATTTTTTCGTTTTTTGTCCGGTTTGACTACTGGAGTAATCCGTTAAAACACATCTACATCCATAGTGCGACTAATACACTGATTTTCGACACGATGTTTATCGCATTTATTTTTATTCTAGTATTTTTATTTTACCATTAAGGAGAATTCCACCTATTTTTTCAAAGTTTCTGTATAATTCAGTGGCTGAGACAAAGTAAACAAAGTCATTCAGAGCGGTTTGGTGTGAAATGGTCAACATGCAGAGACTCAGATTTCTCTACACTGGTGGTGATGGGAATCAGGAATCGCCATGTCAAGAATACAAATACAGCCATTTTGTTTACTATCTAGAACCACCTGTGAACCTACACACATCTTATGATTTCTTTGGGGATTATTTTGCCTCATGAAGCCATACATGCATCCGTCCAACATGAATGGATTAAAATAAGTGGATAAACACACAAAATGTTATCACAAAACCATCACGGAACAATGTATCAGACATTTGATTGCAGCTGTACATGGAGGTTGCAGTCTTCTTAAAGGGGAATTCCACTGATATTTCAAAATTTCTACATGATTCAATTGTTAAGATGCAAAGTTTTTCACAACATTTTGTGGTGAAATGGTTAATTGTAGTAAAATGCCCCCGACTCTGATTTCTGTACAGTGGTGGTGATAGGAACCAGGGTGTGTCATGATCTCTACAACACAAACACAGCCATTGTATTTGATACCCAAAACGACTAGTGAACCTACACGTGTCTTCTGAGTTGTTATTGTTACATATACTGCTGTAAATGGTAAAACAGTGGTAAATCTGAACAAAAAAAAAAAGTTTTTCTTGGGGACTGTTTTGTTTTACAACACACTGAACGGACCTCTCCACCACGAACGGATAAAAAAAAAACCTGTTTTAGGTTAAAACCTTCTTAAAACTATCATAAAACAATGTCTCAGATGTACAGGCAGGGATTCATAACCATTTCTTTGTTTATGCAGAAATTGTGAAAAATCCCAATTCAAGAAGAATTCCTGGTTGGACTGTTTGGTTATTCTGTAGCACCAAATCTTCACAATAAGTTCAATGCACTCATAGGTTACGTTCTTTAATTCAAAAGGGAAATACATGATGCAGTCAAAAAAACCTCATGAGCTCTGAAATGAATGCAAAAGATGTAACAAAACAAAACAATCCAAAGGGTAACACTGAGAGGTGAGTTTGGGTGAAACCATCTCGCCCAAACCCCAAACATCAGACCTGGGAGTTTTCCACAGAGCAGGAGTTCTCAGTTTAGCCAGATAACTTAAGCTCAGAGTCAAGCCTGTCCAATAGGAAAAGAGCTGTAGGACATTCCCACTGGACCGTCCTCATCTTCGGGCTTAAGTTGTCTGGCTAACTGAGACATCTTGCTTTGTGGAACATCCCCCTGGGACAAAAACTGTGTAACAAAGCAGGTAAAACATCAGTAACTGCTTATTGGTGTTCATGGTCACACTAGCATGAGTAAACGTTTCAAACCAATACAAAGTAATGGGAAAGTTACACAGTTATAGGCGTGTCCCCCATATGCTTCAAATACTAGCTGATATCAAAGGGTGTACATTTATTATGTCATGAGCTGAAAATGACCAAACCACAACACGTCTTTGTTATACAAAAAAAAAAAAAACCTTGAATAAACTGTAGTGATTACAGAAAATGCGTATAATTAGTTGTGAGAATTATTTCCCTGAAATTAAATCATGTGCTTTGAAAGACTCTCGGGAGTGCAAAAATACATTTTTAATAGAAAAAATAAGATCGTCTTTGATATAAACTCTCGCCGCACATCCGCACGTTTTTTGGTCATTGGCGGGAGGCTGCAGCTTGGCTGAAAGTGTGTGCGAGCTCGTCTGTATTGTAAAAACCGCCAAGCTAAAAAGCAATAATAATAATAATAATAATAATAATAAAAAAAAATCACCCTGTCATACAAGCACAATTCACTTATCCTGTTCATTCATTTCTTTCACCCGACTTTTCACTGCAGTCCCTCCTTTCGGCATGTCAGAAGCAGGAACGTTAAAACAGATTGACCAGTTTAGTAGCCTAGAAGAGAAAAATCAAACCCAGGCTGTGTACACGTCAAACACCTACACACTCAGCACACAGATACCTTAAAACCTTAAGCAACGACCAGGGTTGTGCTGACCTCTCTAAGAGAGAATATTACACAGTGTTATACTGCATAGACAAAATTGCAAAGCCAACCTGTATCTAAAAAAAAAAAAAGAAAAAACAACCAAACAAAAAACAAACACAATCTCATATAATACAGTTCTTGTCATATATGCAGATACTATACACACATTTGATATACATCAAAGAGGAATTCCACAAGTCATTCAGAGTGGTCTGATGTGAAATGGCTCATTTGAAGAGAGATTTACAGACTCAGATGTATTTATAGTGGTGGTGATAGGAACCAGGGGTCACAATGTCTACAACACAAATATCGCCATTTTATTTACTATCCAAAACCACCAGTGCACCTTCACGTGTCTTCTGAGTGTTTATATGTAATGATGACTGTAAAATAGTGGTAAATCTGCAAAAAAACACAATTTCTTTGGGTACTATTTTGCCTTATGACACTCTGCACATAAATGTTCATATCGCATATATTTTAAATATATTTTAAGCCAAAACCTTATTTCAAAACTACTGTAAATCTGTTTCAGAGATCATGTAATGTATTCATAACACTTCTACTAAATGCTTCGATGTTTGGTTCCCTATCACCACCTGAATCTGCAATTTTCTCTAGAACTGCACTTTTTTTAAAACCACTCTGAAAAACTTTACATCTTAACCCATTGAAACTTGCAGATATTGTGAAAATTCCCCTTTAATAGAGACACACTTAATACAAATATGAGAAGAAACAAAAAACAACCTACAGACTGTAACAGAAAATGTCTAACTTAAAATAGCACTAAATGTCCAAAAGTTTGTTGACACTTGCTGAACCAATGCTTCTTCTGAAGCCAAGAGTATTAATATTGAGATTGCCCCCCGACAGCAGCCTCTACTCATCCGGGAAGGCTTTACACTGGAACACTGCTGTGAGGGTTTGATTGCATTCAGCCACAAGAGCCATCAGCCACTCCAATTTATCTTTCAGTTATTGGATGGAGCTCCATCAGTCCAGAGAGCGCAGTTTCCAATGCTCAAGAGCTTTATACCCCTATAGTCAGTGCTTGCCAGTGGGCATGGTGACCTTAGGCTCATGTGCAGCAGCTCCAAAGCAGCCCATTGTATTGATAGTGCTTTTCTATGGAGATTATACAAGCTGTATACAAGCACCTTAAAATAGTCAAATTAACTAATTAGAAGGGTGTCTGGAGACTTTTGGACATATAGTGTCGCACTCAAAGGGAAAACCAAAAGACATTTGTCATTTATTCTGTATTGCTTTGGTCTGAGTACTGGATGCAGTTTGTGTGTTAAGACTGGCTTTGCAGCATCTCCTCAGCTTCTTCACCCAGTTGCATCTCCAAGCACCAGCGAGAGGACCATCCTCCTTCCCTTTTCTTCTATTTATCTGTTCGTTCAGATTCGTTAACTAACCCATCTTGTTCTCAGAAGCCAAAAGTGTCCTCAGCGTCAGCTGCCTCTGCATCCACTTTGTCCCAGTTGCCAGGCGACAGGCACTCTTCAGCGTTGTAGTCCTGAGGGTTTAGCCCAATGTCCAGGACCTGGGGGTTAGCGCGACACTCAGCGAGTCTGTGGGGCCCAAACAAACAGAGAATGATCAATTAAACAAACCAGGCTAAATCAAAGGTTCTCCAGCAAAGAATAGGGGCAGCATGCATAGCATTTAACATTTTAAATACAGCCTGAAATTTACCATATTGAAAATCTGATGTCTCGTGTTGCATTACGAATGTATAATGAATGTACAGTATGTTCAAACAGGTTCTGTTAAATTTCCAGCGCTTAATGGGACAATCCAGTGTTTTTACAGCCTAATCTCCATGTAATTCTACCTGTAGTGTCTGTTTATCAAAAAGCTGATGACCCAAAACAAACCGGTAAGAGTGGGCAACATAATATTTATCACAATCGCAATAATTTCCATCAAATTACATCAAAATATACATGGATATTATCAGTATTTAAAGAACACTGACCAACTGCATGTTTTATTACAAAGAAGAGGTTAAGTGAATTGGCTTGAAAAAGCTTGTGCTGTTTCTATCCTCATTGTCCATTTTATCAGCTCCACTTACTATATAGGTGCACTTTGTAGTTCTACAATTACAGACTGTAGTCCATCTGTTTCTCTGCGTACTTTATTAGCGCCTTTTCAACCCGTTCTTCAGTGGTCAGGACCCCCACAGGACCCCCACAGAGCAGGTATTATTTGGGTGGTGGATCATTCTCAGCACTGCAGTAACACTGACACTGTGTATTAGTGTGTGTTGTGCTGGTGTGAGTGGATCAGACACAGCAGTGCTGCTGGAGTTTTTAAACACCTCAGTGTCACTGCTGGACTGAGAATAGTCCACCAACCAAAAATATCCAGCCAACAGCGTCCTGTGACCACTGAAGAAGGACTACAGGATGACCAACACAAACTGTGCAGCAGCAGATGAGCTATCGTCTCTGATTTTACACCTACAAAGTGGACTGACAAGGTAGGAGTGTCCAATAGAGTGGACAGTGAGTGGACACAGTGTTTAAAAACTCCAGCACCACTGCTGTGTCTGATCCACTCGTACCAGCACAACACACACTAACACACCACCACCATGTCAGTGTTACTGCAGTGCTGAGAATGATCCACCACCCAAATAGTACCTGCTCTGTGGGGGTCCTGACCTGAGAACCTGTTAATCTGTCCAATTCTTTCTTTCGGAGATGGGACTGTTTTTCAAGAGGAGAGAGAGAAGAATTTGTGGTAATACATTACTAACGCAGTAGAGTGGGTTTTCACATGATACTGCCTGATTGTGCATGGATATTAAAACTACTTATAAAAATAGAAAAAACCTTAGGGAAAGTGAAAGTAACTGGAACTGCTTTTATACTGCTCTGGAGTTCAAAAGATGGGCAAACGTTTAATAAGAGGAACTTTGCTAAGACATTCTCTCAGACCGGTCTCATCCCAAGATCTTTATTCTTAGAATGCAACAGCTGTAGTTTCAAATTTGTCAAAAAGTCACATATTTCAAATATATATTCAGTTCATGCCAGCTACAGGGAAATGCAGCATAATGACGTATCAAAATAATCGCACATAAGGCAGACACAGATTAGGTTGAAAAACGCTGGAGTATCCCTTCCCTTCCTGAACATTCATGAACATCACAACTGAAACATTTAAATGCTGCTGCTGCACTTAATCTTTGTAGGAATAATTATAATTGACTGGTTTGTTGTTTATTTTGATAGTCACACCCACCCTAAGGAAAAACAATTGTGATGTACAAGTTCTATGCAAAAGTCTTAAGGCACCTAAGCAATTTTTTTAAGTATTTATAATGGCAGTAAACTCTATATAATATTGAAATAATACTGTAGACAAATAAACATAAACACAGTAAAAAGTGACAAGAACTTCTTTTCCAAAAAGTAGTTGAGATGTTATGACGTCGTTAGAACAACACAGGCTTGGTGCCCTCAGCTTTCGCACAGTTACTTTCAAATTCATCGCCTGCATACATGGTTTAACTTAACGAAGGACTGATTAAGCCAAATGAGGCATTGGATGACAGCGGCAAACAACACTGGGCTGCCACAAGGAGAGATTTGGAAATGGTCAAACCAACATATTGACATACATTAAAATAACTACTTACTTTGCTAATGTTATTTGTATTTATCGCTGCTGTCGTAACAAAACCTCGTATCTCCATTTTTGTCGTTTTTCAGTTTTTGACGTAATGTGTAAATGCCTGTTTCTTTTTACATTGTGTTTAAATTTCATGATAAATGGACAAACAAAATGGCCCAAAATGACTTGGAAAAATGTCTGGGTCCATTGATTTACATTAAAAGTGAAGTAGGTTTTTTTCCTTCTCCTGTAAAGTTACCATTTTGGAGATATGACGTTTTGTTTCCACAACAGCGATATTCTAAATGCTTACTGAACTGGCACTGGATATATTATTTTTTCAGATGCCTAAACTTTTGCATAGTACTGCATATGTATACACATCTACATCTTTTTAATTAAAAAGATCACTGTCCACAGCACTGTTGGCTGAAACTCTACCAACTCGAAAGGAATTCAAATTTGTTGAGTACACCAGTGGCACGTTTATTCATCAGCTGCTGAAGACACAAAAGAAGAAAACACAACACAACACAACACAGAAGAATATCACTACACTATCCTCGCCACAGTGGCTCACCGTCATGGCAATGCACTCACTGATGTAGCAATAGTGGGCGACAGACGGCTGAAGACAAGACAAAAAAGTAAACGTAAGGAAACTGGAACAAGATGTATGAACATACAGGAATGAGCACTACATCTAAAGAGGCGAAGAACCCTGAACCATTTCCAGCTTCTTTTAAGTCTCTGCTTTTGAAGCAAACAAAGCATAAAAATGTATAAGGTAACTTCGTAATTGAACAGGGTTCTAAGCCACTACATGAACACAATGAGAGAAAATGGAAGGATTCTGCGCATCGGCGTCACTGCAGGATGGTTACACCATGGACGATGGAACTGGATGGATATTAATGGGATGCTCTAGATGTCAGGCACTACACACTTAACGATGCTTCTTTACCTGAGTACGACTCAAAACTATCCAAACTGCGGCTGCAGAGAGAAACATCAGGGGGGAGAAAGTCAACGTGATGGAACGTTTTTCAAAATATCAGCAGGTTGTTTCAGATATATTAAAATATATAAAACCTCGAAACTTTCTTTGATTAAACAATATTCTTCTGGCCACCAGATGGCGTAAGCTGTCCTTTCCTCAGACCTTCAGCACTGTACATACCAGCAGTTTGGTCCCTCTTTAATGGCTACATCATTCCACTCATGCTAAAAGTTTACTGGAGGTCAGTAAGTGGGCTGGCTGACTGAAAAGGTCCAAAGTGCTGTGTGGTTTCACTTATGATCAAACAGAGTCACGCAAGAGAGCCTTTCTAAAATTTATATGGGGACTGCATGTACCAAACTGTAAAAGGGGGCTGATTTGGGGCTGATTTATTTATATATATATATCATTTTTTTTACACATAAGTATGGCCAAGCATAAAATACAGACAGCTTGTAAAAAAATATGCACAAAACATGCAGTGGTAGAACATTTTTGTTAAAGCCGCTGGATAAAGCAGTTTGAGGATGGTGTTTTAATTAAACGCAGAGATGTTTAATTGTTCTAGGGAAAGGTTTATGAGCTATGATACAAGCCAACACAACTGAAACTTGCAACACACAATAGATGCTTCTCTTTCTCAGGCACGTTGCTTATGAAACAATAAGCAATGCAACTGAAAAGCACTCAGTCTGCGCAATGTGCTTTGCATTATTAAGCTGTGCACACAACTCAGAAAAAAACATCAACTTCTGTACTGAGCACCATTTGTCAACCACATCTGACCAATCAATATATTGATTGGTCATTGATTGGTCAGCTGTGGTTTGTCAAATGATCAAGGATCACTCTTCTGATGAGGAGGAAAAGCAAGTTGGGCTGTTTTCTGTGCAACATTACACACATTACCACACTGTATACATGAAAAAAATATGTATCAATTGTCTTTCAATGATGTCTCAAATCGCTGTCTCGTGTTTACTTGTGTCAATCAAATGTCTTTGCCTGGCCCCTAAGAGGCGTCCTGCTTCCTTTTAAGCACAAAACATGGCAATCATCCCATATAAAGTGTCATAAATATGTCTGTCATGAAATATCGTATACACATACTGGCCCTTACTCATGTACATGCAAATGTCACTGACAGTTTTGTTATCCATCATTTTCATCTTTGGGGTGTCTGTACAATCAATCTCAGGTTTGGCAGGAGTGTGTGTGAAATGGATCGCAATGGTTTAACAACCTAAAATGGTTTACTAACCAAAACTATTATCAATATAATCTCTAATACCAATAATTTAATAAAAATAGAATATTAGGTCGACCATTTCTTGTATTTATACTAATGACACTGTACCAAAAAAATACAAAGCACAGCTAGTGGAGAAACATCTTATTTACTGCAATCACACACACACACACGCACACACACACACACACACACTTTCTAAGCCGCTTATCCTTCTGGGTCGCGGGGGGAGCTGTAGCCTATCCCAGTGGTCACTGGGCGAAAGGCAGGAAACACCCTCGACAGGTCACCAGTCCATTGCAGGGCGGACAGACAGACATATACATTCACACCTAGGGGAAATTTAGCATATCCAATTGGCCTGACTGCATGTCTGTGGACTGTGGGAGGAAACCAGAGCACCCGGAGGAAACCCACGCAAACAAACACGGGGAGAACATGCAAACTCCACACAGAAAGGACCTTGGTTGCCTAGCTGGGAATCGAACCCAGGCCCTTCGTGCACTCACTGTCTGATTTCAAACTCCACCTACAAGCACAGGCATTGGCTCACGACCTGCTAAATGATATCTTTTTATTGGATCCCTACCAAACATCTGCATAAATCAGAACGTGCTTCATGTAAATGATATGTAAATGATATGTGCTGGTAAACTGATTTCACACTGAAGCAGATCCATCATTTGTGCTCAAACCTCCATGCTGGCGAAAGCTTCATGAATGAGATGTAGAGCAGGTCGTACATCATTAAAAGTAGTCAAATCTGCGTTCTTCTTTACTTTGATGAATAATGGCCACCATACATAAGGCATGGCCCTGACTACAGATTACAGTTAAAAATCTATAAGGTCCAGAGACATTTACAGGAAGCACAGCAATGTTGGAATTTTTTTAGGTAAAGAACATAAAAACGGCATCTCTGGTCAATTTTGGTGCCCCTCCTACATACAGCATTATTGAAATCATTAATAGTGTGCTAGTTTTAAACGCAGTCAAGACAACCCATCACTGAAAACTGCGAAAGCTTTCTTTAGTATTAAAATGTCCCCAGTTGTTCTCTAGTGACACAAAGCTTTGCTGGGCCGAGCTCTGACCAGCTCTTCTTCATTCGGAGGATGAATCCTCATTAATCACCACAGAGATAAAAAAAACAAAAAAAAACAGTGTTTAATTACTGAGCCACTGCCTTTAATTACTGCACACATATGAACAATCAGTGCAGAAAGGAGCTGAGACGAACCCCTGCTGCTTTAAGACAGCACCTCAAGGGTGCAGTCTGACACCCTCGGGGGGGATGTTTGTGTGTGTGTGTGTGTGTGTGTGTGTGTGTGTGTTTACATGTGTGTGAAGGATTACCCTCGTTTCTATCTTTTTAACTGCTGTCCACAATTGTTTACAACCTCACACAAAAAGTAATCATTTCAAAACACTAATTACTGTGCGCCTGAGGACTAAATGCCATTTAAGGAGTGCATTACTGGTTACTTGTTTCGAAGCAACAGCCTCCAGCACACGCTCTGCAGCACCATGGCAACAGAACTTGGCACATTTCATATTCACCCTCCGTAGTGGCAGCAGCTAAAGCAAAAAAACATGCGAAATGTCCGAGAATGACCCTGCAAGTTCGAGAAGTGATGAGATGTAGTCTAATGGAGATTCCCTCTTACCCAGTCCCAAAAGATCTGCTCTCACAGGCTTCAGGCTCAGGGTACCTGCTCTGATACCGAGAGACTGACACTTTGGACAAATGTACGATGGAAACAGACCTTGAATAGGGACAGAGGGACACGGTAAAGATTTTAACAAAGGTTTGACCCGATGGGCTGGACTGGTCTCGCTTGAACAAAAACGAGTTCAATACACTCCCAAGACGAAATGCCTCTGATTTGATACATTTTTCAATACAGCATAAGGAGAATCCAAAGAATGTTAAGTTTATTAGAATGTCCAACATTACAAAAGTACGATATTTCAAACAAATGTTGTGCTCTACAGTGTCCTGATTAGCCACCAGCTAAGATGCTAGTCAAAATACGATCATAGGATATGATATAATATGATGCAATATGATACAGTGCGATACGTTGTATTCTTACATGCTTGGAGGTTACTGTTGTGAGGTTGGATAAGCTTTATAGGACACTGGTGAAAATCCCACTCAACGAAGCACATTCAGTTTTTGTCAAAATGTATAAATAATTCTATATTCTAATAACATTTTTGATTCAGCAAAAATCAAGTGTTCATATGTATGCTCATATATGTTAATATGTTCGTGTTTGCACCATGCACACAGCTTATGTGCCTGCACCCCAGGGGCGTAAAAATGCACATATTTTCAGGTTTGATACGGTTTTCAATTCTGAGGTCAAGATTCAATTCGATTTTCCATATTTTTTTACGTTAAAAATGTGTAAAATAATTCTATGTTGCTTTAATTATATTATACACAGATCCAGGGCCGCCGGAACCATAGTGAAGAGCGGACATTCGCCCCACCACTTTTCAAAGCACTGTGGCGACGCCCCACCACTTTTTGAGTTCAGGACGCACACATAAAAACCTCCACATTCCCTAAACTGCATGAAGAGCTGTTCAGCCTGAACAGACAGAGTAAAACTGAGTGGCAGAGCCAATAAGAATCTCTATTTCAGCTGGGAGGCGTTTTCAGACATGCCTTGGTTGGTGCGAACCTGTTCAACTTTTTTTTGGTTTTGACATACGACTCCACCCAAATTCAGGTGGCACCAAACAGCTGAACCGCACTAATTCACGATGGAATTCAACACCATTTTTTCCCACTGCACATGTTCTCTGTACTGTCTGCACAATCTGCTGTTTTAACATTTCACTCTTTGGATCAGACGCGTAAGTGTTTGTTTATTGATCAGAAGTTTGCAGGGATGCAAGCACTTGTTCCTGCACTGCAAGCTGCTGTAAATAATAAAAGACAAGCAGTAATGATATGCGTTTGATAATGGATTATGGATCTAATTTTTGGCCAAGCATCAGCGACCATTAGCAATTTTAGTCAGTGGCCTAATTGCACTGCGTCACTTTTTGCTTTTTGTTTTTTTGAAATATGTTTTGCCCCACCACTTTTGGAGGTTTGACGCCACCCCTGCACAGATCTGGCTTATCTGGCTTGGCTCAAGATAAACAACTTACAAATGTATTATTTCCTCCAATCATTTGAGCATGGGTGCATGCATAGCATAAGCACCCCCCCCCCACCGCCCAGCTTACTCTGATAGGATGCCCTCAGAGGTCTAGTTTTGATCGTTGATAGTGGTTTCCTAGAGATGCACTAAAATTTTGGCCAACAAAAGCCGAAAATGGTCAAAAACGTTTTCCCGAAAGTGCATCTCATTTACATAAACGGTCCATTAAACAACCATCCATTTAAAGGTTTTTAGGGAATCAACAGTAGTTCTTTTGCTGCACTGCTCTAAGAAGACTTTTTGGCAACTTTATGGTAAAAAGTGTGGCTCACTAACAACAAATGCAGGATAAGTGACATTAGCATGACATCAATGTGTCACAATGATACTCAAAATAAATATTTCTGCAAAAAGTGAGTTGATGCTGCAAATATGAATCTATTTAAATATTTGAGTATGAATCGATATGACAATCAAGCCAGGCTTCTGCAGGTGTCACCTGTGACCTGTGCACTTCTGTCTAACCGTAGAAGATTACCATTGAAAATTGTGAAATTGGGGCCAAAGGCTGCAACTGTGAACAAAAGCACTGTGAGCAAAAAAGCCACAACTTGGCGTAATTTTGCAGCCACGCTTGTAAGTCAAACGCAGAAACATTTTTTTCTTTCAAAACGAAACAGTAGAAGCAAGACATTAAGCAAATGACAAAACATGTTATTACCACTGATTACCACCTTTTGTCCTGAAGCATGGCCTGTAATTTTAAACAGCACGGTGTAATTATATCTATACAGAAGAACAATTTAAAATTTGTCAAACACTGACCTTGAGAAAGCTTCATCCAGCCCATCGTCAAGCTCCTGCAAGACACACATAAAAGAACAAACAGATGGAAACAACTGAATGAAATATGTACACATGATAAATATACTGCAAAAGAACATGATGGAAAAAAACATGATGTGCATTTTGCTATCTGCAAGAATCTATTCAATGTGTTTCATCATCTTAACAATGGTATAAATTCATTTTTAAACAAGATGTCAGGTGGTGCAACCACAACTTAATTAAAAATATTATTTTTTTAATCATTTGCCATTACTGAAAGTATGAAACAAGTGTCTGTACTTAGACACCTGTGTAAACGTTTGCCTTTGAACTTTGTCCTTTTTACATACATTTGTTTTCAAATAATTATACAGCCCCGTTTTCAAAAAAGTTGGGACGCTGTGCAAATCATTTAAATCCTGTATTTAATTGAAAACAGTACAAGGGCAACATATTCGATTTTGAAACTGAGAAATCTTTTTGTTTTTTGAAAAATATACGCCCATTTTGAATTTGATACCAGCACCACATTTCAAAAGTTGGGATGGGGGCATGTCTACTACTGTGTTGCATCAACTCTTCTTTTAACGACACTCTGTAAACGTTTGAGAACTGAGGAGACCGACTGCTGTTCTGAAAGTAAAATGCTTTCCTGTTATTTTTTGATAATGGATTTAAGCTGCTCAACAGTTCAGGGTCTGCTTTGTCATATGGATCCTGTTTATATATGCTTTCTTCTTTGCATGGAGTTTTAACTTGCATTTGTGGATCCAACAATGAAATGTACTCTCAGACAATTGCTTTCAGAAGTGTTCCTGAGCGCCTGCAATAATTTCAACAACTAAATCATGCCCGTTTTTAATGCAGTACTGCCTTCCAACATGGTTTTGGTCTTGTCCCTTGCATACAGAGATTTCTTCAGATTCTTTTATTCTTTTAACGATATGATGTACTTTAGATGATGAAATCCCCAAGTTCTTTGCTATTTTATGTTGAGAAATGTTATTCTTAAATCGTTGCACTATTTGCTTGGGCAGTCTTTCACAGAGTGGTGAAGCTCTCCGCATCTTTACTTCTGAATGACTCAGCGTCTCTGGGATGCTCTTTTATACCCAATCATGTTACTGACCTGTTGCCAATTTACCTAATTAGTTGTGAGATGTTCCACCAGGTGTTTGTTTAGCATTACACAACTTTACCAGTCTTTTGTTGACCCTGTCCCAACTTGTTGCTGGAATCAAATTCAAAATGGGCAAATATTTTTTCAAAAAACAATACAATTTCTGAAATTATCTGATGTGTTGCCTTCAAACTTTTTTCAATTATATGGGGTTTAGGATGGATTTAAAGGATTTGCACATCATAGTGTTCTGTTTTTATTTACATTTGCACAGTGTGCCAACTTTTTTAGAAACAGATTTGGAATAACACATTTTTACGGTCTTCCTGTGTTCACACCACGTGGTAAAGTGAACCAGAGTAACCATGACTTAACAATGACAATTTTTTCAGGACCAACTGACCTTGGCATTGTACCATGGAAGTCACTTCTTCTTTATGAAGAACTTCTGCCCACTTTCTTAAAGTCATGCCAGGTGACATTTGAGGACATCAGAATTTAAGGCCAAAAGTTTTTCAATAAGTTGAGTACTTTTAAAGCTGTCATATGTGCCAACATGTTCTGATTTTTTAATGTTTTAAACATGAAATCATACCAGACTATCTTATTTGGAATTTTATATAACTAAACTACATTTTTTAATGGTTTATTTAATCTATGTATATGTTTGGATGTTCATACCACCGACTTTGGGTGGTGTAAATGCCTAAATTATTATTATTACTATTTTTGTGTGGACAGGAAATGTATTCATATAAATGATGTATTATATATTATTGTGCTCCAGATCATATATTTTTTTTAATGAACTAATAACAAAATAATGAAATAAGAAGGAACAACACAAAAATACACAATGCATAAATGATATAAATTGGAATGGTTTCCAGTGTTGCATTAAAAAAAATCCATGTGTATACCTAATGAGACTACTACAAAAGAACAACAAAATCTCACAGTGCACCCAGACCCACTTACACTTATTTATTGTATTTGTCTTATTTGAAGTTCAATTTGTAAATTCAAATTATTTATATTAAAAATAAAAATGAATGTACTTTTTTTAACTTGCATTAAAATCTTACTGTGGCACAAAACCTATAAGATAATGTATCATAAAATCTGCATATTGTTTCACCCCTACAGGTAGTTTCTTTACTGCTAAGGGAAGAATAACAACAACAACAACAACAAAAAAAAACTCTCATAGTACACATGTGCACACACACCCACACCTGCCCAGTGTTCTTATGACAGGCTCAGTCTTGACTGCCTTGGCCGTTTAACCTGCTGCCATTTCTCCAGCAAACACCAAAATGTTTTTTTCAGTTTCACCTAGAGGAAACCTCCTAAGCTTCTAATGATAACATTTTAACGGCTGCTGGAGGTAACTAATTTAATCTGCGTTATTTGTCCAGCCAAGCCTATATTACAGCAGGGGGGTTGAGGGACGGTGCTCTCCCTTGTTCTCTGATAAAGTCAGATGCTTTGAATACAGCATTGTTCAAGGAGTAATGAATGAGATTGCACAGTGCCATTACAGGCGATCCCAGAGACAGCTAATGATCGAGCAGAGCAGAAAGACCTGTAGATCATACAGTAATGGGTTTGTTTCATGGCCTCTTGCATCACTGTATCCTTAGTAAGAAAAGAGACTTTTCCAAATGACCTAATTCACGTACAGCACATAGGTATATACTGAAAGAATTTCTGGGCTGATAACAATAATGTATAATTAGCAACTTGCATCCATTATTGTGAAATGCTTTTGTTGTTTCTGTAAGGCCCATAATGTGGTCTGATGAATATATTCTCGTTAGCTCTACATTTAGGGTACGACTATGCTAGCAATGATGTCACTTTAAAGAAGGGGCATCATTGGTCACTGTCAGTCAGTGACCCAGTAAGAGACAGTGGCTTAAAAACAGGGTGATAAATTATAGGTTGCAGTAATAATAACAAAAACTCAATTTATATATGGTGTGTGATTTTAGGCTTTGTGCTTATGAGCACAAACAAACATGGGCAAGGGGGATGGGTCAAATGATGGGTTAGACAAAAGAAATGAAAGAACAGAGCGTGCTGAACATGAAATTAACCTTCATCAATGCATCAGTGAATCTCTCATATGATGAGTCTCAAGCTGCACAAATAATTTATACAGATCTGCCCATAATTCACTGCAGTGTACTGATGCCATGTGAGGTGTGCTGAACCACAGGTGATCATTAATTAACCTGAAAATATAACCAGCTGTGTAGGCTCACAATACACTTCCTGTAAGGGGAACGCAAGCTGTTTACTTTACTAGTCAATAGTGAGTCTACTGAGCAAATTAAACCATATGAACTGCATACCCACATTTTCTATTAATTATTACTTATTAAAAGGAATACTCCAGAGATTAGGCTTACATTTACAATGTATACAACATTTTTCTATTTACACAGCAACTACAATTTACACATATTACTGTCGGATTATATCCACATAACGGGCATTAAATAAAGATGAAGTAATTACAGCTATTAAGCCATGACACCCACAGTAAATTGCAGATGACATGCAAATGAATCTGTTCGCATGATTAGTCTGTCCCCACCTACTGTTTCCACACCCTCCATCCACATTTGTCACTCCCACAGGAATACCCCAAATTACATATTAATATAGGAGCAACCTACACAGATTGGTCATTAAAGACCAGCAGATTTCTCACGCAGAAACCTTTCCAGCTTTACAAGAATAAAAACACCAGCAAAAATCAGTAAATTAGTACTTTGTGTGTTTCCTCATGTAGTCACGGATTCATCTGTAGCAAAGTGTGTTTTTGAACAAAAAACACTTCACATAACAGCTTTGAGCTGCAACTACTTTGGAGCCATTTTATTTTTCTAAAAAACAAGTATCGATTTAACAAGTGTGTTCATCAGTTTAAAATGCTCTACATTAGTTGTTCTCAAGCTGGTCCCCATTTCTGCCCTGTCCCTATTCACTCTGAAAATATGGACCATCTGGGAGGCCCTGAGGACAGGTTTTGAGAACAGACCCTGTACATTATTTAGATTATTATGAGATTATTCTCACCTGTATCAGAACAGAATCTGATTACGTTTGCCTAAATCAAATTTAAGATGCGAGTGTCAATGTCAGAACACAAAAACACTATGAAAGTTTCAAAGCTTTAAAATGCCATCTGGTCCTGGATGCATTTGGCTTTGAAGATTTTAATGACTCGTCATTCATTAGAATATCAAAACAAAAACATATTCATTGATGTATTTAACAGCAGTATATATTAGTGATGCAGCGAAATGACAATTCTTGGCTGAAACCAAAATTTAGGCCAAAAAGTGGAACCAACAAACAAAAAATGGCAATAAGTAAAAAACAGTTTCTATAAAAAATTACTAAAATTATGATACGTGCCATAAAGTCAAATGTCCTTGACAACATAGAACAGTTGGTTTTTAGGGGAGGGAAGCTCCTGGGTGCTGTATTCCCTCTTGATACTTGGCATGAATCACTTGTCTAATGTCCCTCATAGAAACTGTGAAATGGCTCCACAGAACTGACTTATTCATTGTTGATGTGCTGCTGCTCAAACGCATCTGTGCCAGAGCAGGATAGCATTTATTTAAACATTGTTTATCATTTTCATTAAAGTTTATTTTTTAACGGCCAAACTTTCAGTGTCTCACTAGCATTTATCCAACATCTTTTCTTTGGCTGAGGTGTGCTTACCCATACTGTGTTGTTGTTTTCTGTGCTGATGCTCTGTGCTGTGTGTGTGTGGGTGTCTTCACATCCTGAGTGTACCATCGCCATTATAGCTCCTTCCTCCAAGTTCAGCAGGTTTCCTGTAGCCACCTCTACACACAACACACACAAAGAATACACACACAAAATCAACATTAACAATCTCTACAAAAGCAGGAAAATACATTTCACACGGCATTTGTTATGCAGACGTTTATTACGAAACCCATACTTCCCTTTCCACTCTCACACTGATATTTACTTGCTATTGCACAGACACATACCCATGTGTGAGCTTTTGTAGTGTTTCACTAATGTTTAGCTTTTATTCAGTAAACTTATGAATGAGTAATGAAGCATTAGGCAACAGAAAGGTGAGAAGCACTTCACCGTTGCAGATCCAATCAACTTTAGCAGTGTTGTATGATGTATCCAAACATCATTTTAATATAACAGCTACAGCACTTCAGCATCATATAATTAGTTGTATTAATATCACAACCTTGATTTGCCTCTTATTGCTATTAGAATAAACGACAGCATCAAGCAAAACACTCGAAACAAAGCATAAATCCAAACCACCACTTCCCTGATTGTCTTTGACCAATCATCTTAAAAAATGCCTGCAATACATAGGCTTTCATGAGATCCTGCTGGTGTGGGTTCCTGTCAGTTTCTTCACTTTCATTTATGGACACAAGTTACCTAATAGCTCCCCCTTATGGAGAATCTCCAGCATCCTAAACGTGAGCAAATGACTAGGCAAGAATGAGCACCAAGCCAGGCTATCTAACAACATTTTGCTGCAGAAGCAGCTGGTTTCAAGATATTTTGTCTGGACTCTGTTCATATTTTATTAGTAATTTTATTTTAATTGCATACATTTTATTTAAAAAGCAATTTATTCATAATTTTAATGACTTAAAACATTTGTTACACTTGATTTCTGAACAGCCATTATGAACCCAACTGCATGCCCGCAAGTTACGCTAGGCGAAAACTCATAATTATATCAATGTAAGGCAAATATTTAAATCAAGAATCATGCAGGCCTAACTACAACCTGGGAAACAAATATTCCCAACTTTCAACGGTTGCAATTCTATTTAAATGCACTAACACTATGTTAAAGTTGTATTTTGTCTACTGGAAAACCAAGCTGAACATGTTAATTAGACTCCAATAGGCAGAAATTGTCCCTTAGCATAGCATAAATTGTATTCAGTAACATGTGTGATGTTATGCTCATAGAAACAATCAATATAACGCATATACTATTTTTTATTTGTTTTACCTCTTAGAATCCTGGGTTAATATTGCACAGACTTTTGGTATTTGTCAATTACAATTACTAATTATTTATATACCATGCAAACAACCCAAAAATGTGATTCTGTGGGTTAAACACAATGTAATGAATATTATAATCTCACAAATGTTTTCACCTAACTGTTAGTCTTCCCTCCAGAACATGCTGAATGAGGCCATGTACAGTTGCGTACTGAATTGTTCAACAAATGATGTTTTGTTTAGATGAAAAAGCGACAGAACTTTCTGTTTTTCTGCGTTTGTCAGCTTTATACCAAACGTCACTAAACACTGTGCGTACAGATGATGATAAGTGCCTACATTTCTTAGCCATAGTATCATTATGAAATAGAGAATTGCGATGCTACACTTGGTTATCGGTATCAAAGTCAAGATCCTGGTGTTGTGACAACCTATCTTTACTTTAACCTTTAGCTAGAGCCAGCTTTCGTTGCGCACATGCATAAGCACAATCTTTAACCCAAACCCTCAGTAGCTGATGTCAAATTATTTCATACAAACTTGGTGAATATGAGGATTTGGTCTAGTTTCGCTTATCATCTGCGGTTCAGCTCAGTGTGGATGACAGTCAAAGTAAACAACCATCACATTTGTCTGTTTTAGCGTTGCATCCTGCACTCGATCCCTCCCTCGCCTCCATATTAACGTCTGTCCATCTCTGAGTCAGATTCAGCAGCTCCTCTTTCACAAGCAGAGCAATTACCAGTGGCTCTCTGGGACAGTGAGAAAACGTGTTTGTGAGGACGATGGCTCATGTTCATGACCTTTCTGATGGCTATGTCTCTCATTCATGGGACACACACACACTCAGTACTGCAAAGTCATCCTTCTCGTATGACACAGAGGAAGCCAGTCTCTGTGTGCTCTGTATTGTGTTTCATGTAGAAGAGAACCACTTACAAGGGCCAAACTGTGCCCAGCCTCACAATGCTTCCACTGTAAGTTGTACAACTACAATGAGTTGCAAGTTTTTTTGAGACCCTGACAATATATACATGCACTATTTTTATCAGTTGCAGCTTGTCACACTTTCTAGGTTTACAGTTACTGACTGTAGCCTATTAGTTGCTACTGTTTCTGATATATAAGCTTTGTCCCCATTCAGGGGCTGCATCCTTCGGAGGCTGCATTTGAAGGCCGATTCCATCACAGCGGCGCGACAAGACTGTCCTATTTCGAAGTTTCCTTCATATGTGGCCGAGAAATGTGTCCTTCTTTTCCATGGCAACGAAAGATCCAACCTGTGGATCCCTCGCCAGCCAACATACCCCGAGGTATGAGTGGATCGGACACAGCAGAGCTGCTGGCGATCCACTCGTACCAGCGCAACACATACTAACACGCCACCACCAAGTCAGTGTCACTACAGTGCTGTGAATGATCCACCGCCCAAATAATACCTGCTCTGTGGTGGTCCTGTGGGAGTCCTGACCCTTGAAAAACAGGGTAAAAGGGGGCTATGTAAAGTATGTAGAGAAAAAGATGGACTACAGTCTGTAATTGGAGAACTACAAGGGGCACCCATATGGTAAGTGGAGCTGAGAAAATGGACTCTAAGTGTAGAAACAAGGAGGTGCTCCTGATGGGCTTGGTGAGTCTATTTCCTCCAGCTGTCTTGAATTAAGGACTTGATTCTGTCTCTGTGTTTGTGTTTATCAACCATTCTCTGTCTCATTTTTGTAATGGATCATCTGGTCACATGACATGACAAATATTTAAAACCTTTACTCCACGCTGACAGATGTGGCAGGAAGGGTTTGTCAGGCGATATTTGTGTGCTTTTCTGAACAGTTGTTGGTGGTGCTGTGTTTGCGTACAAAAGCTGATCCAAAGCCTGATTTAAATGGCATCTGTGTAAATCTGGCAGTGATCAGCAGAATCAGTGTGTTGGCCCTGTAAGCATGTGCACTCACACACTCTCTCTCTCAAACACACACTCTCACACATACTCTCTCTCTCACACACACACACACACACACACACACACACACACACACACAAAACAATCAGTCTCCTTTAGAAACATCAGGGTGGATAACACATGAACACAGCCAGAACAAAGAATCCACAGACAAGACCAAAGAAAGAAGAATCAGTCTTTGACAGAGCAACGGCAAAAATAGGAATGAGAGAAAATGAGAGAGAGAGAGAGAGAGAGAGCTTGAAAGAGAAAGAGAAGGGGAGAGAGAGCGAGAGAGAGAGAGAGAGCGAGAGAGAGACAGACACTCACCTCCTTCTTTCAGACTGTCTGAATTCTCTGCGTGAGAGTTGCTGGCTACTCCTCCATCTGAACCTGACTTCACTCGCTTCTCTTTCTCTGAGAGGTAAAGAAGAGAACAGAGTGAGTGACATTAATGCTAAATAACTGATTTATCAAAACCATATTTACACGAAAAAAAAGCTGCTGTAAAAATGCTGCAAAATATTTGGACGCCTAAAATTTTCAATGAATGGTTCGACTCCAATTCCTAAACATTCACACTCAACCACACAAAGCTACACAGCTAACAGATAAACAAACATTACTCAGTGCTGCCCTAAAATCCCATGATGTCTTAATGAATGCATTTGCTGTTTTCTTTTGTTTATATTTTTTGCCCAAACCCAGTGCACCCAATTCACATTTTGTTTGTTGTAACTTAATATGACTATGAAATATAATGACTGACAAATGATCTAATGAATGATTACACTCAGCTTAAATAACTGGATTTATCTCAAATAACTACGATTACACGATTACGTACAGGCCTTACAGGCCTATCTGCTTTTATAAAGAGTGCGGTGCTCTGTAGTTAACATGCCTTAACGTTTCTGTCAATGACTTTCAAATTTCTTACAGTAGTTTACAGCACAGTTCAGTCCAGTACAGTAACCTCATGCTGCTGGAAAATAAAGTTAAATAAAGTAAAGCTGCTGATTCACTTACAAGTGACCAGAGCTATTTTGAACCATGACATAATTTTAAATAATACAGTCGGCTGTGATTAGTGGTTCATGCAGTTATAATTAACCGACAGAAGCATGTATTTTGGCGCACCACTAGACTCGAAAACTTGGTGTGTCTCTTCCTGAATAAAGTCTTTGAATCTTCTTCTGAACCACATTTCACAAACCAACAACCACTGCTGTGTAAATTCAGTGATATGCACACCTAGATGTGCTCACAACAGGAACTTGTGGTTTCAGGGTGTGTATCTGTGTAAAGGTGTGTTCAAAGGCAGAGCTCGATGAGTGCGCATAATTATCACAACACACACACACACACACACACACACACACACACACACACGCGTGCGCACGTACGCGCACAGCTCTGGATCTACTGCCTCTATTACTGACAGAGAGGGGACATCAAACAAACTATCTAACCATGCCTTAAGGGCATTATAACAGAGAGAGAGAGAGAGAAAGAGAGAGAGGGACAGAGACACACAGGAGGAGGTAATCTCTACTTCGCACACACATACTTACAAGCTACATAATTATCATTTACAAATACTGCCATATACAAAAATTCCAGGCTCCTCTCCGTCCCCTGCTCTCTGAAATGGTTAAAGTAGAAGTTCAGTCAAATATGCTAATGTTACTAACAATAAATGTTTCAAAACACATAATTTGCTCCCCTGCCAACACGGCAAATGTATGTGAAACAAACTGAAAACAGTTTTGAATTAATTGTTTTTGTGGTTTTTGTCATATTGTAGCTATATGGAGTGTTTGTGTTTCATTCCAAGCTTTTTGAATGAGGCACAATACAGGACAGACAATCAAAACAGATGTCATTTACACATGCTGGTCTTAAAAGCACAGTAAAAAGCCAGTCTGTTTCATTCTGAGAGATAGAGGTTGGCAAAATGGTCCATAAATCCACACACACAAGAGGACGTTAGGGAAAAAATAAAATATAAGAAAAATATAGGACCTTTAAAGCTGCAGTTCTTGAAATGGGGGCCTCACGCTGCAAAAATGGCTTGTGAATAGAAAACAATACTTCATGTGGTAACAAGTAAATTAACTAGTTTTACTCAACCTAAGTAAATACTTTGAATGAACGATTCTTTCAAACAATGTAATTTTTTGAGTTGAATAAAACTACTTCAACTGTTTGTTACCACATGAAGTCATATTTTAGGTTTAACTGAGGACCAATTTTTCAGAGTATACTTATTAAGTTCTAATTTTGTTAGTTTATTAATTCTGCTTAAACCAAAAAGAGGTAAAAACAGTAAAAAAATGGTCGATATTATTAAATGTTATTGAAATAAATACACGCCAATCGATCAGAATTTACGGCCATAATGTGTCCATTTATTAAAAAGTTACTACCCTTAAGACCTTTTGTTCCATTAATAGCTGAAATGTATTGTTCTGTAATAATACTATTCACCAGCCTTGCTTGAAATTCGAACACATCTTACCAAACTGTAAACGTAACATTTATTGTGGTCAGTTCAGCCTCTGCACCTCTGGTTCAACTCTGCGGATGATGTGTCTTCGTACCAAAGTCCGAAGACACGTCACAGTAAGCAAGTCTATCAACCAACGTTACCGTCCCGTGATGACACCCTACTAGTGCCCAGGGCCATGTAAAGAGATAGCTCTGCTCATGCACCCTCATAAATATGAAACCACACATGCCTAGAGTGAGGGATCGGTGCAGTTTGCTCTTTCCATACTTATTGTCTCACCACATTTAGCTTGTTATTTAGTGCTCTAGTTAGTTATTACTGGTAATTCTTAGTTATTGTATTGTATTTGATTGTAGTTTTTAGCCTTTTACTACCTAGCCTTATATTGATAACAATCAATGTATGATTAAGTGACAGCTGGCTCTCAACTTTCAACAGCCAAAACCAATCAGGACTGCTCATGGAAGTACTGTGAGATCTTTCCACACCTACGCATTCATTCTTCCACTGATCACAAAGAAAAAAATCTCTCACTAGGTATATGAGTTAGAAAATCAATAAAGACTTTATGTGAACACAGCATACGCTGAATGAACATCGAGGTGGACAAAATCATTCCGTATTCTCTAAATATGGAGGCTTTTCCATGTGGTGCTTGGCCCCCTGAGATTGCTTCTGGCAGCTACATTTTCTCTCATCTTTAAGTACTGAAGCCAAAGACAGCCATGAAATAGTAGCCAAACACTGACGATGGCAGTGCTATGTGTGTGTGTGTGTGTGTGTGTGTGTGTGTGTGTGTGTGTGTGTGTGCGCGTGTGTGTATGCAAAAAGCAGAAGTGATCCAAGCCCTATCATCTCTTTTATCGTCCTACTCCTTCCCACAGAGACTAGCGCCCAGGCAGACGCCAAGCTTTTAAGACTTTTACTTGCCCTGAAAAGCAATATCACTGCCTTTGATTTTTTCATCAGTCACACAGACACATGCACTCGCATGCTCATATGCGTATGTAGAAAGAGACACACAGAACTATCACTCAGAAGAAAGAAAGGGAAAAATACGACAAGGACAAAAATGATCACAACAAAAAAGTTGCAAGAAAAAGATGTAAAAGAGACAGGAGGCAGTCAAACTAAGTGAAAGGGAAGGAAAAGGTGAAACGGAAGACATCCATAATTCAAAATATTAATTTGAATATTAAAAATGTGATGCGATTTTAAAAAAGACTCGGGTTACAGCCTTGATTTCCCTGGGAATTAAATTATTAAATGGAAATGTACCTAATTTTAAACAGTATCAAAGCCTCGCGTCCAAGGCTTTGAATAAAAGAGAAAGATGAGAGTGCAAAACAGTGAGATGTGTTAAAGGACAAGTAAACAATCTTTCCATCAACATCTCAATGAGAAAGGGATCAATGTGAGCTGTCACTGGGGCCTGACATGTTCTTCTTATTTCTTTCCTCTCCCAGCTTCTCTCTCTCTCTGTGCAATGTAAGATAACAATATTGTCACAATTTCTATCTTTACTTTCTCTTCCTGTCTCTCTATCTGTCGAGGGGTCTACCTGGGTGTCAGCTATACTGTCAAAACGTCACCGAGACACTCTGTTCATCTCCTTCGTTCGTCCTTTATACACTCTCTCTCAATTTAGACTGAAATAGAAAACCAGCAAGGCTGAACGATAAGGAAGTACATATAATAAGTAAGTACACTCTTATTTGTACACAGTATTAACTGAATGATTACTGAGTGACATCCATATATTAAATATTAATGACTTAACTTCCAATATCATTTTTAATACCACCATCGATGTTCATTTGATTAGGCAGTTCAAGGCTATATGGGTCCTGCTGTAGTAGAAAACATAGCTGCAATGGTCACTGCAACAGCACAATGGTAAGATGCCAATCCAAGTGTTGGTCACATTTCCGCCACAATCTCAAAATCCCACTTATTGTTGCTCCTGTTGCTGTTTTTCTATGACAGCACTGTAAAAAAAAAAATAATTTTAACCAGATGTTCTAACCAATCTGCTTCTGCACTGCATCACAACCACGCCACTTGGACGGTGGTCCTGTGTTTAAGCTTTGCTTTACTGGCTATGCCTCATTGCTTCTGGTTTAAAGCTTACACAGTTTTTCTACAGCACGCCAAGATTACAAAAAACACGATCACGCATTTTGTCATGTCCACTACCAACAGAAACGTACCATACCCAAGTACTCAGTGATTTTGGTTACCCTTCTAGTTGGGGTTCTTTTGCTTTTGGCATTAAAAGAGACAGAAAGGCGAAATTCAACCCATTTTGTGGTGTTTTTAACTGTAGCTCAAACGGATAACTAAACGTTAGCTTAGCAAGAAGGCTACGGACTAGCGGTGTGTACTCCCATGGATTCACGCTGGGCCCATGGAACCCACCACAATATCTTGTGGCACGGGACTAATTTTCAGTGTTGTGGGCAGAAAACCAACCCACTGCAGGCGGAAGTGGGCTGAAGCACACATGAAGAGAAATCCCACAAATTAATGAATAGCCTAAATGAAGTACAGCAATCGCTAAATCATATAAACAACATAAAATTATAACAGTAAAACAGCTAAAATGAATGAAGTCATTCTAAAGAGTTGCAAAGCAGCTGATCTCGTGAACAACATTCAAATTCTCATAGCTCACAGAGACGGCAGAGCCTTCAATCTGATGGCCACAGCTGCCGAGCTCAGCAAAATAACAAAAATAACCATTCTGTGGTTTAGTTCCTGCTTTTTGTTTGCTGGGAATAAATGAGCAGGCAACTGCATGGGCAGGAGGGGACCAAAACGTTTTGGCTGCAGGCAGGATACCTAATTCTGATTTCTGTGGGAACAGGTTGGAGCAGGATGAAATCTTGCAGGAGCGGGTTTTAAAAAACCGTTCCGCGCAGACCTCTACTTCAGACCCAAACAGTGCCATGTACCACAGTATCGGGTGTTTCTGACTAACTGCTGCTCTGCTGAAGTGCAACTGATAAAAACTAATGTTGAGTGTTGACAAAGCCAAAATTTAACCTGTTCCATGGTACATGCAGCTCTTAGCTGCTGCCAAAGTTTTCCTGGCTCTGACTTCCCCTCTTGCAATCACTGCCACTTATCGGTGAGCTCCCACGCCACCAATCAGTGACCCCTCTAGTACTTGAAATATTGTATTCATGTTCAAATACCACATTATATCTTATTACCATTATACCACCCAACTCTGATGTGTACATGTATATATTAATGAAGCCTTATGCCATATTGGAAATGCTACTGTTGTGATAATGATTAAAAAAGATCCTCCAGGAAATCAGAAAAATAACTAGAAATAACCAGTGATATTCTACATTTCTAGGCCAATTTCTCCCTGAAGGGAACTGTCAAAGGACTGTGGTAAATCCTGGTGGAACATCTTTAGGTTTCTGATCTTTCTGCTAAATTTGCAAAGTGGTCTGTAAAGTGTAGAAAGGAAATGCAGTACAGAGTATAAACTCCGTCATATGTATGCCACACACCCGCAGGCTGCGCACAGAACCGTCGTGTGCTCATACATGCAGTTAATTATATGTTCCCTTGACCTGTGGGAATCCTGGGGAGTGTGTGAAATGTTATGAAGCTTCTGCATCACAGACATACACACACAGCTCAGAAACTCAATTTCAATCTGTCCCTTTTAGTTCATTATATGCTGTAAATGCAGGGAATCTGAGTGGAGTCACACCAGCTCACACACATCTGGAAAGCTTCCAAAATAGATGGCAACTGAACATACCAGCCATACATTTTTGGTGTTGCGTAGGGCCGGCCTAAATAATTTGAATACTTGGGTATTTGCTCAGTACATTGGTATTGAATTCTACATTTGTAGTATTTGGAAGTTTCGTCTTTTCTTCAAGCCACAAAAATTGTAGTCTAAACTACAACACATTTTATCAGCAAAGGCCATTAAAAAGGACAGAGATTATTAGTATATGGAAAATATTATATAAAAAATTAAATAAATTACAACTGGTTTAGTTCAGACATCCACGTATCCTCGCCTGAGAGCGAACTGCACCACTTCCCAAGTGGCCACTGGAGCTAAAAATGCCTGAGAAATCACGTGTGAGAAATTTAAAACTGTACAACGTAAGACTCAGAGATTTGGAGAACTCTCTGAAGAAAATGTGAAATTTGTAATGTGCAGGTATTTTTTTGTAATGTGGGTTGTGCTTCAGCCATCTTCCCTAAGCGGATGAATCTGAGGATTGGCAGCATGAACACAGAGTATTCAAAGAGAACTCAGTCAACACTTGGTGAAGGACATCTTCCGAGGATGCGAGTGTGTTGTCTACTATTGCCATCATATCATCTGTATAATGTTGATTTTGCATTCTAGTCCTAAATATCAAGCCGGACCTTCTTTTTAAACCTGTGAGTAAAAAATCTTACATAGTGCAGCTCTACGTTATCTGATGATGAGAAAAATGCTCAGAACAAAATTTGCAACAGTAAGAGGCTGGTATACCTGGTTGGTAAATTTGTAAGCATATTAATACTTAATTGAGCACCACTTAACTCTGGTGAGGGCGAAGCTAAAACTGGGGAGCTCAGACCTTCAGACCTGTTTGTCGTGGTTAGATGTGTCAGTGGATGAGGAGGGGAACCTGCCGCTCCTTCCAGGGTGGTCTTTCTCACGTTCAGACAGGTCTGTAGCTCCAAAAGCTCTTTAATCATCCATTCTAATATTTGTGGTTTGGCTAGGACTGAACTCAGCTTGGCCTGCATGTTGCCCTCACTGCTGCTTTTCATGATAAGAAAAATTCTAATTCATTACAGTCTACATGACTCATAAAAGCTATATTTGAACAAGAGGGCTAAAACCGGGGCTTCTATAGCAACATGCTTCAGCCTGACTATTACATCTGGACACACTTCGAACTGTAGTAACAAACATAATTAAAATGATGGTGAATTATGAAAGTATACATAACTGATTATGATCATATGATTGATTTTGAGAACAAGTATTCAGGTAGTTACCAGTAAATATTAATGAGTATTCAAAGCTTGTGAAACGATAGTCAGGTAGTATTACAGTTAGAACAACAGTGAAGTTAAAAGTAAAGAGGAAAAAAAGAGAAGGGGTGATCTGGGAGGCTATGAGATGTCGATCACTCGGCTGGCGCTGAAGCAACCAAGTAGAGCGTACCTTCTTTGGCAGCCTGCCAGAACTCAAACGCCACCCTGAAGGCCTGCGCTACCGTTAAAGTCACTGCCTGCGCCTGAGAGAGAAAGAGAAAGACTGTTAATACATTTTCATACTTTATTAGTTTCATTCCACAGCAATGTAAGACAGTGTAGAGGAGGAATGCAGGATATGTAGCAGAAAGAGCTGAAGAACATGAAAAAACAAGTACTGTAAGTTTTTGCACTACTATACGATACATCTTTGATGCAGAAATAAAAAGAAATGCCTTTTTATTACTTTTCCAACTACAAACACAATTCCAAAAAAGTTGGGACAGCAGGTAAAATGCAAAAAAAGAAAGCAGTCATTTATAAATATACTTTGACCTGTATTTGAACAAAAACAGTGCAAAGACTAGATATTTAATGTTTTATCTTATTAATGTTTTTTTTTTTTTTGGTAAATATACTTTCATTCTGAAATTGATGTCTGCGACATGTTCCAGAAAAAGTTGAGAAAGCGACAGTTTAAGGCTAGGAATATTGTGAAATATTCAAAAACAACTTAAACAGGTGATGCAATCATACTTAATAAAAGGAGCATCCAGTAAAGGTCCTTAATGAGCAAGGCTGGGCCGAGGCTCGCCACTTTCCCTCTACAGTGCCTATCATCTCCAAAAGACTAAGGGAATCAGGAAGATTTTCAGTGCGTAAAGCAAAAGGCTAAAAACCAAATGTCCATGATCTTCAGCCCCTCAGACGGCACTGCATCAAAAACTGCCATGTGTCTGTGATGGATATCGCCACATGCTTTTAGGAATGATTTGAAAAAAACGTTGCCAATAAACGCCGTCCGTCACCGCATCCACAAACGCAAGTTATGACTGTACTGTACACAGCAGAAGTCATATTTCAACAGCGTCCAGAAACACCGCCAACTTCTCTGGACTGTAGCAAGTCTGAAATGGACAGATGCACAGTGGAAATGTGTATTGTGGTCTAACTAGTCAACTCTATCTATTTATGGAAATCATGGATATTGTGTTCTCTGGTCCAAAGGAGCAATGGACTTTCCAGACTTTTACCAGTGTGAAGTTCAAATGTCAGGGTCTGTCAAGGTACGGGAGTGGTGGTGGTGTTGGGGGTGGGTTTATTAATGGGTAAACTCCAAATCCTGCATTTTAGAGCAACATATGTTACCTCTTAGATGATGTCTTTGTCAGGGAAGTCCATGCTTATTTCAACATGGCAATACCAAGCCACACTAATTCTGCACGTCACAACATGACTGCATAATCAGAGAGTGCGGGTGCTAGACTGGCCTGCCTGCAGTCCAGAACTGTCTCCTATTGAAAACCTGTCTGTTTAAGCTCAAAATACTACAATAAAGGCCCTCTACAGTTGCATAGCTGAAGACCTGTATAACAGAAGAGTGGCAAAAAAATTACACTTTCAAAAGTAGATTAATTAGTGTCTTCAGTCCCCACAAATGAAGTGCTGTTCAAAGAAAAGGTGATAAAACACAGTGGTAAACATGCTCCCGTCTCAACTTTTTTCGAATTGGGTTTGAACCAAAACGATGCACAACAGCCTGGTGGAAGCATAATTAACATAAACAAGTCGTGAATGTAGCACAAACTGTTTTCATGATTGTGTTTTAGGAAAATAAGTCATCCTTTATCTAAAACTGATGTTTGCCTGACGCTGTGGTCAAGGCTTTCCAAAACGTGTTCACAAATAGGACAGCTCAAGTAAACACGGCGATGTGTTTAAAGGAATAGTTCCATGAAAAATCTGAAAAATTTTCCCTTACCCCAGACACTGTCAACTAATGATGTAGTCATCCAAATCTTTTTTGTAAATACATCCCCAAAACATCTCTCATCACTCAAACCACAACCACGTCTTCATTAAGGTCACACAGATTTGTTGATGTCGTTCAGTATGACTTACTGTGAACTACAAAAATTAACAAAACTTTACACTGTAGTGGAAAACTGCGGGCAGCCCCTTCAGACAACAGGTGTTGTGCTGAATTCTGACTTCCCTGCTGAATACGACTCCCCTTTGTGTGCATGCATACGGATGATAGATATGATTCAAGATTTGATTTCTGATTCTGTTTATAAACATGTATACTTAGCTTGATCAAACAGTTATTTATAAAAAATAAATAAATAAATAAATACAAAAAAAAGCAAACATACTCATACTCGTCTTCACGCCTGCATGATGTCATGCATGCAAAGGGGAAATGGAATTCGGTACCCTGTTGTCTGTGATGGCTGCCATCAGTGTTTAGCTACACAGTAAAGTTTTGTTCATTTGTGTAGTTAATTTAAGTCATATTGTGCTGCAAACCACAATGACAAATCTGTGTGTACTTAATGAAGACCTGGGGCAGGCTGAGAGTTTTGTGAATGTCTTTATGGAAAAGATTTGAGCGATTATTGGCTTGTAGTATTTGTTAGCAATGTTAGCCTCATAGCTCTGGTCTGGGGGATCGACTACATCTGGGCTAAGTGGGAATTGAGAAATGGTGTAAATTTGAAAGCAGAAAATCAAACTGTATTTCAATTCACACCACATACTGTCTTGCTACATCTACACAGAGAAAAAGATATCAAAGCACCCATAACATTATTATTGAAATAAGAGTTTGATGTATTATGTAAAGTTTTAAATCATGCTGCTCACTCCACAGTCCATATAGTCAATATATAAAACAAATATTCAAGCATTCAGCCTACAGCAGTGTAGCTCCACCCATTCTTGCTGAAGTTATAAGTAGTGTTTCAGCTCAGGATTGCTTTGTGAATGAAGCACAATATAGAGCAGCCTATCAGAGCACGGCTCATTTACAGGTATCAGTCTTAAAGAGAGAGTCATAGAAACCCTGTTTAATTCTAAGGGATAAAGAGAGGTTGGAAAGTGGTTATGATAAAATGATTTATGACTGTTTTTAAACACCTCAGTGTCACTGCTGGACTGAGAATAGTCCACCAACCAAAAATATCCAGCCAACAGAGTCCTGTGGGCAGCGTCCTGTGACCACTGATGAAGGACTAGAGGATGACCAACACAAACTGTGCATCAGCAGATGAGCTATCGTCTCTGACTTTACATCTACAAGGTGGACTGACAAGGTAGGAGTGTCTAATAGAGTGGACAGTGAGCGGACACAGTGTTTAAAAACTCCAGCAGCACTGCTGTGTCTGATCCACTCATACCAGCACAACACACACTAACACACCACCACCACATCAGTGTTACTGCAGTGCTGAGAATGATCCACCACCCAAATAGTACCTGCTGGGAGGTCCTGACCACTGAAGAGGGTAAAAGGGGGCTAACAAAGTATGCAGAGAAACAGATGGACTACAGTCTGTAATTGCAGAACTACAAAGTGCACCTATATAGTAAGTGGAGCTGAGAAAACGGACAATGAGTGTAGAAACAAGGAGGTGGTCATAATGTTATGCCTGATCAGTGTAACACTCATAGGGAGAAGGCACAGTAATGAGGCACTGTAATAAGTATCTATAACTAGAAAAATCTTAATTAAAGTAAACAGATATTTATTTCAAGCGACTCTTCAGTACCACTCCACTCCTCTTCTTCTCCCTTCTTCTCTGCAAGAAAGTGTGTTCGGAGTCACAGTAAAATTAGAGAAGGGAAGGAAAAGCAGGGAGTGGCCATGTAACGATCTCTCTAGAGATCACACACACACACACACACACACACACACACACACACACACATTCAAGACATTCAAAAGGAGTAAACACACACTCACACTCACCACTTTCTTTTTGGTGCAGAGGAAGGCATGGCACTCCAGCGTTTCATTGCGTTGGCTTTGAGCAATGTAGGCAAACACTTTATCATGCATCTTATCAGCGGTACAGTACGAGATCCTGCAGAGACAAGCACAAGAGACACAGGTTAGACAGAGACACAGGAAACACTAGAGCATATAACGATTGTGCTGGTACAGTACTGTGTAGAAGTTAGAGAGCGTCCTTCATTTATTTAACACCCAGTCAAAACAACTTTTTCAAAACACATGTTCCATTTTCAGGAGGTATTTCTGAGGACATTACAAATACGATAATCCACTTGCATAAGGAAGAGAAAAGTCTAAGAAAAATATGTGAAAAACCAGGAGTTTCCAAAATTGGAGGATTAATATTTGGGCCAAGCCCATTTCACCCATACCACTTAGCCCTTAGCCCTCCGTTTTGCATGTTCACGTCTAAGGTTAGGGTGTCCCGATTTTTGTCGAGATAGAGTGGTATGCTGATGTCTTGGTAGCTAACTAGCTAAATTTCCCGTTCCACCTTAAATAGTCCACCAGTACTGCCGCCTGAAGCGCCACAATGTAACAGGAAAATCTGAGCAAGAAGCTCAAGCGAATAGCTGAGTTCAGCTTCATATCACTGAAAAATTAGGGTGGGCGATAATAAATAATTATCACATCCCCCCTCCTTGAAGGCATATGATTCCCTAAATGTAACTAAAGCCCAGCAGTGAGGAGCTGAACTTTACCCTCCTCTGCTATCACTGCAGACTGGCTACAGAGCAGCGCTAGTAGCCTGTTAATGTAAACCTGTTAAAGAAATGTTATTTTTATTTGATGGTTGTCCCATTTCACAGGGGAGGATTTCAACGACTACCCCTTGTAACTCAGTTCCAAGGGGCAAGGTGACACTCGAGAACAAGGGGCAGGGGTAAAAATAAGAAATGGGACTGGGCCTTTGAGTGAGAAGAAAAATCAAGCTCCAGTCTGCTTCAGACTGTGAGAAGACAACTCAAAGGAAAGGAAGTGTAGCTGCAAAGAAGCCCTCACCTCTTCACCATTAAAAAAAAGAGAAGAAAATTTGCAAATTTCTTTGAAAAAAATTAAAGCAAGTCTCCTGAAAGAACACAAGCTGTAATAACGGCAAAGAGTGGACGCACTGAATGCTAAGAAAACTGACACTATATTTAGTTGTTGAGCTTCTTTCTAATTTTCCTTTATATAGGTTACAAAATAATAACTTGTACATAAGGACATGGAAAGAATTCTTCAAAACCAAAAAACTGAAGCGCCCCGCTAAACACAATGGATTTGAAAAACTTCTTGGCAGTGAGGACACTGCTACAGTATGGGTCGGTTTCCCAGACAGGGATTAAGCCTAGTCTTAGAGTACATATTCCTTTAAATAGACAATGTGACCTGAGGCCCATGTGAGGCTGTTAGTACAGAGTACAGTGTGTTCTGTACTATTGGCAGTGGATTCAAGTATCTGAATGTAGGTGTCTGAATACTTTCGGACATTTTTCGGATATGATGCGTTATCTAGCAATACAGCTAAAACTGAAAATCAAATCAAATCAATCAATCAGTAACACCAACACAGGTATATCCCATATTAATCAAAAGGACAGTAGCAAAGACAAAGATATGCTCAGCAAAATAAATAAACAAAAAGGGATCTCTATAGCTTTCCGAAGTCTAGGCCTGCTAAGCCTTTAAGCCAAAGCTGCAATCTCATTTTATAACTCCTCAATCTCTCAATTCCACACCCAGCGAGAAAACGATTCGCACGCCCACGCCCGCAGACACACACACATACTCTCACACATGGGATGCGTGCAGACAGTGGTGACCTCATCTCCTCATTGTGCATTAAAACCTTGTGCACAGCTGTGTTTTGGCCCCTTCATGCACCCAAACGTCGCTAGAGACCAAGAGGCACCACTATTTTTCTCTCTCTCTCCTTCATTCTCACGTCTCATCAGCTGGCCGTCCTCTTCACACATGTAGATCTGTAGATCTACCAGACCTCAAAATGACATCAGTGCTGTTACATACTCTTTAAACCCAAACAACTCCATCCTGTAGACTGGTACGAACTCTGAGGCCTTAAATGTACATGGTTAGGCCTTTTACTTTACATAATAAACACTGCGATTATTTGAGTTGACTACAATTACTTTACACATTAGTTACCTTTCTACAATCCTGTGTTTACATCATAAACAGAATGTGAATCAGGTGCAGTTTGGATTGAGGCCAATGCATGTAAAAGACTGCGGAAAATGCATTTATTAGACACAACATGAGTCTTAGGAAAAGAGTCTGTTTTACAGTCTGACTGATGGTCTAACACTTCTAGAAAGCAGCAGTGAGTGATGTTAGATTATGTGAGCTGTCTGCCTGTCATACTGTGCTACTAAGTGTCAGCAGCTACGAAGCACGACAGCTAATCAGACCATTTGCCTACCTTAGGCTTGTATTTCAATAGCTGCATATAATAAACAAAAAAATGCATTAATTTGTCTGCTACAGTTTCATGACTGTGACAGGCCTAATCACAGTCATAGCTCAAAGCTCCTCACTCTATTTTTTGCTGTTTTTTTTTTTTACTTTACACCATCTGAAAACACCAGACGATATTTACATTGTGTGGAATGAAACAATCTGAAACAACAGAGATGGTCCAAAACAATTTGGAACAAAATGTACACACTGGTGTGCATTTAAAGGGGGATTCCATCAACTAAAAAAAAATCTGCATAATTCAGTCACTGACATTTCTAATAACTTTCCTGTACTTTTTAATCAAAAACAATCTTGCAGAAATAACTTTTTCATCGTATACTGTCACTTTTTCAAGATCCATATTTCATGTTTTCTTTAATTATACTGTGTTGCCATGTGCACCTTCTCTGTTTCCAACCAGTTTATTTTTACTGTAGGCCTGTCTTTTAACCATTTAACATTTAATACTACTTTTCTCCTTTATTTTCACATATAAATACTATTAAATTGTACTGTTGTTAACTTTATTACTGTAAGCTTTTTTAAAGCTTTTTAAGGCAGTTTTAATACTCAACTTGTGCCCGGAATGAGTGACAGAATGACAGATGGCTTAGCCATCAAAGAGTGGGCTCAAAACAGCAATGTGGGGCGAGTGATGGATGACAGCCAAGTGCTATAGATTCACCAACTTCAGTGATGTTCTAATGATTTCACATTTTATGTGGTAGAGAGGATTTATTTAGATAGATGGCTTGTTTGACTGCTTGGAGGTCTTAGTTTGAGAGAAAAGCTGTCTCAAATTGAGCACTTTTGCAATGCATCCACCACTTTTAGAGCAAGCAGTGTGTTCACAGAGGGAAATGCAGCAAGATGTTGTGTACCATTGATGCCCAGATGATGAATTAAAGGGGAATTCCGTGTCAAAATGTGCGCATAATGCAATGGTTTAGATGCAAAGTCATTCAGAGTGGTTTGCAGTGAAATGTTTTACTGTCGGGAAATTTACGGTCTCTGATTTCTTTGCAGCGGCGCTGATAGGAACCAGAGGTCGCACTGTTCTATTTTATTTTTCTACGTTATTTGAACACAGTAGCTGCCCTTTACAGAAATGCTATGATGATTTGACCACTTGTAAAAGTGGGGTGGATGGGGATTTTGCCTATTTCACTGCCTATATGTATCCCTCCTCCACGAATGGATTAAAAATATATTTTACATGTATATACAAAATTTATATTATTAATATTTTCAAAACTATCATTAAAAATGTCTCAGGCATCAGGCAGTGTATTCATGACCATTTCATGTCATATCTCTCTGTGAGACAAACTCTTTAGACGTCTGGTTCCTATCGTCACCACTGTGAACAATTCTGAGTTTCTCTAGAACACAGCATTGCCCATCAAAGCACTCTGAATGACTTTGTTTACATCATAACCTTCAGCGTCCACTTTGAGACACAGGTAAAGAAAGAAAGAGACAGAGGAAGCAATGTCTATTCTTGGCCTTGAACACATTACATCACACTGTCCCAAATCACAATTATATTAGCCAACTCTTGATCTCTCGTGCGTTACACACACACAAAATCTGGCTAATCTCGCTAAGTAACCATAAATGGTTTCAATTAATCTTTAATCTACTATCAAACTGGGATGATGTAGATATTACTTGCATTGTAGGATGTAAATCATAATATATAACTATTCAATATCTGAAAAAATCATGATAATCTAAGGCCCACTTCTGCCTGTAACTCACACAAACAAGAGGTGACAGAAAGACTCAGGGGAACAGAAGAGTGAGTGTCTAAGTGTGAGACTGTGTTGTGTCCATGTGTGCTTGTCTGTCTGTAGTTCTATTAATAGCTCCAGGCCCAGGTGAGTCTCAGACAGACAACACACAGAAGGAGATTGATGGGAAGTCCTTGTGCACTCGCCAGCCTCCTCACTCTCTCTCAAAATCTCCAGGCTGTGACAGCTTAAATCCAGACTGACAAGCTCTAGTCCTGGAAGGCCATAGTACTCCACGGTTTTGCATCTTCCCTGTTCTACCTGTTAGAACTTGCAGAACAGACTATGGATACACCGATGCAGAATTAGGGAAAACCCTGAGCCGACATTAATGTAGGGCTGTAGGCTTACCTTCTAGGTGACAGCACTGTGTAGCAGCACGCAGAGGAACCCATTTTTAAACATGTTTTCTTATCCGAAATTAGCTGAGGGAAGTTTCTTGTTTTGGATATGTTGTGGAGGCTGCATCTTCAGATGAGCTAATAAGCTAACCAAGCTAACTGGTACAAGATTGGATGATTATGTCTTGATGAGAAACGCTAGTAACAATTTTAATAGTAAAAAAAAAAAAGTCAAAAAGTCTCTAATGTGATTACGAAAATTTTTAATTGTACTGTGTTACAATACTTTGACAGCATTTGTGTAACACTAAAGTTAAACCCATTTACAACCAACTGAAAGAGAGAAGCATTAGAGGAGGACGGTATGGCAAAACTATACAATATCACAATATTTAAAATGACACTCAATGCTAAGTGTCAGCTAGAAGGGTATAAAGCCTCCAGCATAAGCTGTGGAGCAGTGGAACTGTGTTCTTCTGGAGGAGGGGTTTGGCAACATGCAACTCTGGAGCCACATGCAGCTCTTTGACTGCCCTGTTGCGGCTCCACAGCAGAATTAGATTTTTAGGTAAAAATTTTCCCTTGCAGTAAAATAAAGCTTTGCTGATCATTCTAACACAATCATAAAAATAAATGGTCTTAAACGCTGGAGTTAATGTATAACCGTTAATTCACCCTTTAACCCTGAAGGTTGCTGTATAGACTGCTGGTCACACAGCAACACGGATAACAATCTCGCCTAGCTATTTGCTAACAAAACAGCAAAGAGAAAGATTTAAGAGGAACATCAATAATTTGGAGAATTATTTGCATTTATAATCACTCCAGCTGGTTTCCTGATATGTTAAATCTGCAACGAGAAACTGCCAAACACTAAAAGGTCACGAAGCTGAAATCAGCTTTCTGTTCACCAGTTTCTTGTTCGAATTTTCACGTTCCACCTTAAAAGATGCAGCAGTTAAATTCTGGCGCCTCAGGCACCATTTAAGGTAGAATGGAAAAATTTCGAACAAGAAGTTGGCGAATGAGAAGCTGACTTCCGCACATTGATCACACGTTGAGAGACATTTTACATGAAACTATTCCACTTTTGCGGAAAAGTTTCCTGCCGGAGATGTGGGAAAAGCAGCTATAGCTGAGCTAAAAGTGCAAAGTAAGTCTGTGTTTTCGTTTATATTATATTTTTAGCCTGTACTAGGACATCAGCACAGACTGAGAAATATTTACAGCCATGATGATAAAACGTTACTTCAATAAAATGAACACAAAATGTTGTGGCTCTCAAGGTGGTTTGACTTTTGTTGAAAGGACAAAATGGCCCTTCTCAATGTTTGGGTTGCCAACCCCTTCCTTAGGGAGACGTTTGGTTTGTGAAAGCACCAGCATGAAGGGAAAGCTAAAATTAACCAGTATTCTCTCTTTTCTGCTGTAATGTTGTGCTTCTGTGGAAAGTAAGGTCAGACTTGCATATGTTGTACATGTCCACTTTACGCTTCAGTGCTTTACTTTTTATTTTATCTTCATACTTGTTCTTTTTCTTTCGCCATCTGCTCTCATAAGTACAACACCATACGTAAATTGCTGCCCTCTTCAGGTTAATTTGTTAACTCGCTGTAGGTTATTTTTAAAAATATCAACAAAATATCTGTTGAATTTTTATCGTCAACATTTTTGATAATGTTGAAGAGTTTCTAAATAAAGTCCTAAATTCAACATCTGGTGTAAAGGCTTCCCACAAGAGTAGAAGCTGTTACTGCAGGAAAAAAGGAACAAACTCTTTATAAATACACTTGATTTAGAAAAAAAAGGTTGATGAGCTGGTATCTACAAAATTTTGGACATATTTTTCATCATATTGTCCTCCCCAAGGTGCGTTTACACCCACTGACATGCTGGACCAAAGCATATGCCCCGTAATTATCACTCAACTCATTAGCCCTTTATAAGCCGAATTGGGTCTATTATTCTACTGAAAACACTGGACTCCAGGCCTGACACCCTAACTGATTGATGGCAGTGTTTAGAGGAAGCAACAACTTCGCTCCCTCGTTTTGTCCCAGCCTGAGAGGAAACAAGCTTGTGTTGATGCCACACAGACTGATTTCCATGCAGTAGAGTTCTGGAGGAGTCTTTCCTGCTCTCACACACGATATATGTAAAACAGACTGCTCTAATGGCAGTGGCACTCCTCTGATACCTCTGAAACTTGTCAAAATCAATTTTTCTGACACTGGAAAGAACATGTTCTGTATTCTTAAGAGAAAGAGTGTGTTAAACTGTGATCTTCACAAAACGAGATTAGAACAGCTCACTGAGTGATGAATTTATGAATGTGCACTACTGAGGGAGCGTAAAGCTTAATCTGGGCATCAGGAACTGTCAGACAGACGCTTGTCTTGCATAATATGAGAAGAAAGGGAAACGTTAGAAGTCTGACCTGTAAATGGAGATGTTTTCTATCAGCTGATTTGAGGCACTGTCATAAAGTATGATCCCTCTTGGAGAGACCTTTAACGTTACTTTCTGTAGCTTCTTCCCACTGGCTTTGGCCTGAGAGAGACAAAAAGAGACAGATAGATAAAAATAGAATGAAAGACTTTTAAAGCAACTGCAAATTCATGTTTACATTTGTTCAAACTCCAGCTTGTGCTCTAGCATGACTCAGTGAAAAAGGGCAAGGAAATGCCTTTAGAAACCATTAAATGGATGTGCTGTATTCCCAGATGTCTCAAAAGGAACTGCGGACCCTGATTCTCAGCTTACATGTGCTGCGACACTTTATACATGAATGCACATATTCAAATGACGGCATAGTGCTTCTATTATAGCACACTAAACTTGCTATAATTAGCTGTGACTACCACAGAACCTTCAGAGAAACACTCTGACACTGAAACAAATTCGCACACATCCAACACAGTGTAATCAAGCCTCTGAGAGACGATCTTCTCTCATGTTTTGCCCATAAGCATTACCAGCCCTTTATGCTAAAGCCCTATTCAGATTAGAAGAGTTTATTCAGGGACTGTAATAACATTTTTACATGTCAGTAATACGCTTCAGTGATAAGACTCCCGCAAACAGACAGTAATAAAATGATCACTGGACAAGAGAGGTTCTATTGAGTTGTATTTTCTATGAACCTACATGTTTGCGTAATACGTGGTCAGTTGTGAATTTAAAGCATGGGTGTTCAACTAAACCTTGCAGAAGTCCAGTTACATCAAATTTCTTGCTTACAAAGGTCCACATAAACAAACTAACATAATGCTTAACTATAAATGACCAGTCCAGAGAACTGATGAAATAGAATGAAACACATCAAATGATCTAATGAGCATTTTTAAATTGTATGGTCATTTTTGGGAAGCAAAAATGTGTAAAAAAAAAAATTAAAAATATCTGTTCACAGTCTTTTCAAAAGGTAAAATGAAAAAAAATAAATAAATAAACAATTAAGGCTATTCTTAATGAGCATTTCACATTCTTGTGCTGTCAGGGAATAAACAACCACTCTGGTGTATCTTTCATGTTTAGCTTTGGTTTATTTTATTCGTCCTCAGAGCTGAACTTTGCCTGTAAGTAAATTTATAGTAATTTGTTTCGCAGTGCTACCAGGCTTAATGTTTTCCCTTTTGACATGTACCACAGACACTAAACAGACGAAACACATCTGTTTTAAACTTGAAATGGGGGGGGGCACAGTTCTCTGTTCATTTGTTTTTAAACACATTTTTTTTTTTTTGTTGACTTTCCTTTTTAAACAGGGAAACCAGGTTGCTGCTTCACTACTCAGACCAGAAATACCTTGCTGGGATTGTGATCCACCAGTTGACGACCTCTGTTATAAAGTAGCGGTTTATACCTGTAGTTACCAACATAATCGCCCCTTTAATCAGCCTCACGTTTTTCTTCTCCCACTGCTTATGTTCTCCCAGAGCCGAAAGAGATGATGGAAATGAAGTTCTATTACCCAGACCAAGTAAGAGGTCAAAGGACTCTTAATCAGACTGCTACTGGGTTAAGATAAGATAAGAAAAACTTTACTGTCCATTAAATTTGCATGAAATGGAAATTTGTCTTTGGCAATCTGGGACATAAATACATAGACACATACTTAAAACACTAAAAAACAATTATAGCAACAATGCACATGAACTATGGAGGGGGTTATTCATTATGTCCTTATTGAGAATGCTCACAGCAGAGAGCCCAAATGATTTTTGTACCCATTCTTTCTGGTTAGTGGGACCTTAAACCTCCTGCCCGATGGCAGCAACTGGAATGATGAATGAAGGGGGTGCGCAGGGTCCTTGTAGACCTGGGTCTACTTTTTCTGGTTTGAGCCTGGAATGCTGAAGATAATGTGCCAGGCTGACAGACTGTTGTGGTTATGATGTCTCAGTATGTGGGTGTTTGGTTGCTTCTGATTGGTCCAACTCATCTACAGGCAGTTCACAAACTTATTATAGGATTAGAGGTTATTAGGTCTCCACTTAGGTCCCCGTGAGCACAACAATGTTGATAACGTAGGCTATAATAAAATTTTTTTGGCGATTTGAAAACTGCATCGTTTCACAATTCTATTTCAATTTAAAAACAATTCATGTTTCAGCCTTACTAGTGCATTAGCTCTGGGCACATTAAAGCACATCTGCTGTTTAGTGTTTCAGTACTGCTAAGAAATCAGCCTGAATGGATCAGGTAAATCTTCACTGTCTAAATCTCCAATATTGTAATTTTATAGTGCTGAACACTCTAATAAACTGAAAATAGAAACATTAATATATAAATGTGAGACACATTTTCAGGCACTCGTTACTTTTACTATTATTTAAAAAAATTATTGAATCGAGACACCACTGCACTGTATTGAACCAAAATATGAATTTTGTGAATTGCTACCTCTCTAATAGCCTTCTGCCCAATGACCGCAGAGATAGGCTCCAGCAACCCCTCAACCCCGAAGGATAAGCGGCTAAGATAGAGTGTGTGTGTGTATGTGTATGTGTGTGTGTGTGTGTGCGCGCGTGCACGTGTGTGTGTATACCCCTCTAATAAAAATGTATTTGTAAAACACTTAAAGAACTCTTTAAAATGTTTGTTTTCGTGTGAGATTGTATCGTAATTGAAAATTATAGACAATACTCAAGTTACACGTTTTTGACACAACCTGTACATATTTTGCGACAATGATCCATGGATAAGGCAGAGATTGAAGAGTGTGGACAGGAAAATCTTGCCTGGCCTTAAAGCTCACTCTAGTAGAGGCTCATGAATTCTCAGCAACTATCACAGCACTGCACAATGATCAAATATTAAAGACACTGGCAGTGCTGTACATTTAATGTCATTAGAACTGAATCATCAGATCATTTTGACATTATTCAACTCATTTTTGAATGAACCAGGTCCAGTTCGACAGCTGAATTTAACATGAGAAATAAAACACTTTCCCTCTATCCAAACTCTGTGCCCTAATCTGATATTGACTAAAGCCACGATCTTGACCCTCAACAGGGCCCTAAGCCTTGAAACACCCTATCCAAGGACCACTGACCCAAAAAAAGAGACAGAATCCACAAAGGAGTCAAACCCCATTAGTTGTTTTGTGTTGTCAGGGGCTGTTTCTATGGTGAGCTCACCGTAGCAACAATCCTCTTGACGGCCGCGGCTGACAGCTCTTCTCCTTTGGGCTGCTCCACCAGCGTCACGCCCAGATACTTCAGCTGGAACACCATCCCCTCCAGCAGGGTCTCCCTCGTATCCGTCCAGTTTTCTGGAAGCTCTGGGAAGAGAGAGGGGAGTATTAAACTACATATACAAAAACACACATACACACACACACACACACACACACAAACAAACACACACACAAACTGGGGTTTGTGATGAAGCCTGTGACTGGTGGGCGGCATGGCCACAAATTCATATCCTGATACAATTAAAATTTCTTGTGGTTTTCCAATATCACAGAAATATATATATAAATAAATATATATATATATATATATATATATATATATATATATATATATATATATATATATATACGCATTTGGCACTTTTTGGGCAAGAATGACAGCTGATGTATAGAAAACACATTTTTATTTCTCAAAAAAAAAAGCTCACTGCCAACTACGTATATCAGCAGTGTTCTCTTCTATGATGCATTTTGCAATGAAACCCTGCCATTCTAATCATTAATGCACTGCAACGCTAGACGAGCTAAACCATTTACACATGAAACAACCCAAAACACACCCCACACAATCACTTCAATCAGGACCTCTCTACCAGCATAATCCCCCTTGATTTTAAACAGACCCTGTCTAACTGCACCTGCACTCTTTGCGCACAAAAGACGAGCGTGTCTGCGGAAGTGCTTTGTATACTGCAGCTCGTCCTCCGCAGCCAGGCCGATCGCAGTCGGCTCTGCGGGAGCTCTGTGAGGCTCAGCCGCAATGTGCGCCGCTGGTAAAAACCTGCAGAGCCACAGCTAACGAACAGGAAAACCAGCGCTGGGTTTTTTTTAATACACAGCTGATTAGTGAGAGGAACTTGGATGAAGCATTAATGCTTAGCTTATGCAAGGAACACACTCTCACTCCATGTCACCCACATGGCCTGTATACAGGCTGTTCATAAAGAAGGAAAGGAGACAGCAAGGGAGAAACAAGATGGATGCATCTCAGATTCCACCCTTAAAATGCGGGGCAGATGTCACAGAATGAGAAGAGCATTTTTTTAAATTTCTACCCAATTTCCCCCCAATTTAGACATGGCTACACGCTGCTACCAAGCTTGGAGGATGAAGTCTAGCACGCTGAAGCTCCACCACTTCTTTTCAAACTACTGCTAACACAACATTTCTGTTCGGCTGAACATCCTGGGTGAGAACATTAACTTCTAAATCTGTTACATCAGCTAACAGATGCCAGTATTGGCTAGCATCGCTCTAGTGATGAGTGATGAGGGGAGGAAGAGGGCCATCCCACCCTATTATGAGGCCAATTATGCTCTGTTGGACTCCCAGCCACAGATAGCTGCGGCATTATCCCACTCCAGAGCCCATTATTTTTTACATTCTTAACGTGTTTGTCATTTGTTGACATCAAAACACAAGAGAAAAAGTCACACTGCAGACTGAAACATGCCAGTACACAACATATAATACTGTAAATGTAATTCCTTACATTATCAAAAAAGTAACTGTACATAACTGCATTCAAATAGTACAACGAAACAACAATAATAACTACAGATTTCTGGGCTTTCAGGGTTTGGCACTGCTGGAGCTGGATTAGTTTTTCCAGAGGAGGTTGTGTAATGTAATTTGTGGGATTTGATTGGCTAATTGCTGCAGGATAAAGTATCTGTCATTTCCCCAATCTCCTACGGATATCCTGGATTGAAAGACCATAGCCCGGATGTCTATTATCAGCTTTTGTTATTCCATTAGCATAGATTAGAACAGGACTACTATTAGTTGGGAGCTCTGGATTCAGCCAATTACAGAAAATCTTATGCTCCACAATCATACTATATGCCAATTTTTCAAGCATGGATTAAGCCTCGTAGTATATTTCAGTGTAAATGAAGTATTACCATCGGAAATTCTTTTTAGTCTAAATATGGATCTGGGAAACCAGCTCTTTACGTCCAAATTTTTGAATGCCACCTGCTCATGCAACATTTCTTCTTAAATCAAGGGTATTAATAGGGACTATTTTTGCTGCATTAACAGGTAGATCTTTCATGCTAGATGTTTGTACATTGCTATGAGGTTATGACTGCATTCATCCACAAGAGCATTAGAGAGGCCAGGTCACGTTGGATGATTGGCTCTGGATCACAAAACTCATCCAAAACGAATTGGATTGAGCTCCATCACTGCAGAGAATGCATGGCATGGTGACCTTAAGCTCATGCGCAGTTGCTCTGGAGCATCCCACTCTATGGGTAATGCATTTCTATGGACATTATACAAGCTGCAAGTGCACGCCACTGAACGCCTGTATCAGCAAAGGGTGTGCTTTACAGCAGCGACTAAAATCACTTCAATAATAGTACGTCTTAAGGCAAAGCCAATTCAAATGAAAAGAATCCATCCTGCATCTCACTGTGACTGCCTCCCGCAGGGATTCAGCCACATTCCCCATTCTCAGTGTGTTAGAAAGACCAGGTTCTGTCTGTCGCTCGCTCTAATGAGCAGAGTCACTGCTCAGCCATGACAGGGTCAAGTTCAGGGTCAAGGATTTTGCCTTCAGTCTGCCCTCTCTCTTTCTTTGTTGCACCATAAACTGATTTAAGGCACTTTAGTCTGCTGCATGACCTGCTACTCTGACACTGCTGTCACTTTGAAGCCTGTGTAGACCCATGAGGAGCAAACCAATCCAAACTAGGACCTGACCGAAGTACTGGGGTACCACAGGTCCACATGACATTTGTGTGGTTTTATGTCCCAAACAGTCAAAATTAACTTTCACATGACATTTTCAACTTGTCTCTATCCCTTAGAATTAAACAGGCTGTTCACATTACTGTTTCATTTACATACTGATTTATGTAAATGACCTCTGTTCTTATTGACTGCCTTGTATTGTGCATCATTCAAATAGCAGGCCTTGCTGAAACACCCCTTACAACTTTAGAAAGAATGTTCAGGGCAGAACTAATGTAGGCTGAATAGGCAGAGCTAAACTGCTGCAGACCGAATGGGTGGAGCTAAACTGATGCAGGCTGAATAGGGTGATGTGTATAAAGTAGTGTACAAAAAAAATGGGCTATTTTTGCAGTTTCCTTTCCATGCATGCACTGGAGAGTAAGCAACACCTTTTGAAACTTTTTACTTAACACATAAAACTCTTCATGAAGTTCATAAAAGTAAGAGAAAATCAGTTTTTCATGATATGGACTCTGTATTATGAGGATAATATAACCATTTGTCATTGAATATCTCTCTACAGAGCTAATTACGTTACACAGACTGGCTTGGCTCAGATAAAACCTCTCAAACAGATTTTTTTTCACTTTGAGCCCTCTAGCAAAAGAATTCCCAAATATCACAGCCCCCTAGAATAAAGCTTCAGAAACTTCAGAAAAAAAGCCCAATCATTTTAGAGTAAGTGTGTCTACAGCAAAACCTTCCCCCCTTTTCTACCCACTTTACTCTTATGGGATGTACCCCGATGCCCTAGTTTTGGTCATCGACAGTGGTTTCCACCAAAGACAGTAAATAAGATCAATCAACGTTTACTTAACCTCGGAGAACATTGAGGGTGACCCTCATTTACAATGTTGTCGAGTTGACACAGAAAAAGGGGACTGATAATGTGTAACATATCAAATAATAAAATATATTTAATAATATAAATGACTCAAATCAGGCAAGTATAACATTTTTTATTAATAATAAAATAGACAAAATTTAAAAGCATAATTAAAATGTGAAAGTTAATAAAATCAAAATATAAATACTTAAATAAAGACTTCTGCTACTTTTTTTTCTTTCCTCAAAATGTTAAAGTCGGCAAATAAACAGTAATTGTGCATTAAAATGGGCAGAAGTGTGATCTCTGCAGAGGATGTGTTCACTTATTTTCACTTCAATCCATAATCAACAAAACATGCATTTGGCCATAACTTTTTCATATGACTGAAGTACTTGAAAAAGAAAAAGTTTTGATTTTGATTTCCAAGACACCTCCAGCGACGCATTCTGAAATATAAATAGATATGCTGTTCACACAACTGTGCAGTGGAAGTCATGAATAGTGAAGCAGCAGCTGCTCTGTTTGCACACAACCTCTGTGGACTATGCAGGCTCTGACTGGAGGAACTGTCACTGTGACCAAAACACTTCACAAAAAAACATACAGGGGCTTCTTCAGTCTTTATAAAAGATTCCTTTGCAGAATTTTCAGTTGTCATGAAGCCAGCAGAATGCAAAACCATAAACTGCTGTCACAGAACAAGTTCAGTTTGTTCTTTTATATGAGCTGCGTCACCGCCGAGTCGAATGCACTTTACATTTCATAACAGATGTTGTGCAAGAGAAGTTTAAGTCCACAAGAGATGGTGCAAGATGTAGGCTAACACTTGTTGTGGAAAAAAGACTGAACTCAAATACAAGCCAATGGTAAATTACAGAGTGCAAAATTAGCTGAGATTTGTCCAGGTCTGCTAAACAGGTAAGCATTTTTGACCTGCTTCATGTTCAAGATGAAGAGCCTTTATTGCCTGGAAAGAACGTTATGCAGTCTTTCAAAACACTCTTCCTAGTATAGTCAAAACACTGGGACAAATATGAAACTATAAAGGTGAAATTTCTGCTGCTGTTTTGCCCTTTTTGAAAGCATCAGCGCATGAACAACAACTTGGTAAGCTGTTGTCAACTCTCAGGAAACATAGAAAGGTTTTAAAGACTTCCTGAAGTTCACCACAAGAGCAAAAGGCCGATGCTGTCTAGGTAATATATATGGGCCATGCTTTTTTCAGCTCAGTCATATAGAATGAAATATTTGTGTTCAGATGGTGCAAACTGATCCATCATTGTTGCTGCTTTCCTGTGACATACATACATATACATACATACATACATACATAAATGAAAAAATAAATGAAAGTTAGCATTGGAAATTATTCACACGATCAAGGCTGATAGCAGAACTCTGTGTGAATATAAAGACTGGATGACTCATGAAGTTCTCAAAGTCAAAAACGGCCACTGTGATGTGCAGAAACAGCTAAGAACTGGTTTCATTACTCCTTAGAGTCTGAAACCAT